CCGCAAACATCTCCTTTTATCCGCAAACATCTGCTTTCATCCGCGAACATCTGCAGTCACCCGCGAACAACTGCTTTTATCCGCGAACATCTGCAATCTCCCGCGAACATCTGCAATCACCCGCAAACATCTACTTTCATCCGCGAACATCTGCTTTCATCCGCGAACATCTGCTTTTATCCGCGAACATCTCATTTTATCCGCGAACATCTGCAATCATCCGCGAACATCTGCTTTTATCCGCAAACATCTCATTTTATCCGCGAACATCTGCTTTTATCCGCAAACATCTGCTTTCATCCCCAAACATTTGCTTTTATCTGCAAACATCTGATTTTATCCGCAAATATCTGCTTTTATCCGCGAACATCTGCTTTTATCCGCAAACATCTCATTTTATCCGCGAACATCTGCTTTTATCCGCAAACATCTGCTTTCATCCCCAAACATTTGCTTTTATCCGCAAACATCTCATTTTATCCGCGAACATCTGCTTTCATACGGTTTCACCCGTAAACATGCTTTTATCTGCGAACGCCTTATTTCATCCGGTTAGTGCACCCCCGCAAACATCTGCCTTTATCCGCAAACGTCTGATTTTATCTGCAAACATCTGCTTTTATCCGCAAACATCTGATTTTATCCACAAACAACTGATTTTATTTACAAACATCTGATTTTATCCGCAAACATCTGCTTTTATCCGCAAACATCTGTTTTAATCTCCAAACATCTGATTTTATCCGCAAACATCTGCTTTTATCCGCAAACATCTGATTTTATCCGCAAACATCTATTTTAATCTGCAAACATCTGCTTTTATCCGCAAACATCTTATTTTATCCGCAAACATATGCTTTTATCCGCAAACATCTGATTTTATCCGCAAACATCTGCTTTTATCGGCAAACATCTGCTTTTATCTGCAAACATCTGATTTTATACGCAAACATATGCTTTTATCCGCAAACATCTGATTTTATCCGCAAACATCTAATTTTAATAGAAAACATCTGATTTTATCCGCAAACACCTGCATTTATCCGCAAATATCTGCTTTTATCCGCAAACATCTACTTTTAATTGCAAATCTCTGCTTTCATCCGCGTTCGGTTTGCCTGTATTTCCTTTGTCCATTTCGGTCCTGTTTCGTACGCAAACGTCTGGTTTCATTCGCGCTTTTTGTTTTCTTTTTTCTCGTGTATACTTTAGTTAAGTTTACCTGCTTTGTCAAATTTTACTGAGCTTTAACTAACTGGTTGTTAGCCGTTCACGGCACACAACTTTATAACTCTAAAAAGAATTATTTGAATAAAAACAACCTGTAAAGGAAATAAGTTTATTCAACACATTTTCCCAATGGAAAAATAATTTAATTATATTCACCAGATTTAAATTTAAAATTCAGGTATACGTATAATAAGTCTATTAATTCTTACATATATATTAAAAATACTGGTTATGCCAAAATTAAAAAGTTTTTAAAGTTAGATGAAAAATTCTACGCCTAAATAAGTGTTTTTCAAACAAATTCCGTACAAATTGAAGATGTTATAATTCCAAATGTATTTGAAATTAAACATATATGTTTTCTAACAATTAATTTAAATGTAAGCTTAATGATTAAAAAATATCTATTTATGTCCTTTAACAAAGACCTTATTTGTATTTTACCAAATAATATTGAAGTTCAATAGACTTATTTCCTTTACAGGTTGTTTTTATTCAAATAATTCCTTTTAGAGTTATAAAGTTGTGTGTCAGTTAGTTAAAGCTCAGTAAAATTTTACAAAGCAGTTAAACTAAACTAAAGTATACACAAAAAAAAGGAAAACAAAAAGCGCGAATGAAACCAGACGTTTGCGTACGAAACAGGACCTATGTAAATAGACAAAGGAAATGCAGACAAACCGAACGCGGATGAAAGCAGAGGTTTGCAGTTAAAAGCAGATGTTTGCAGATGTTCGCGGAAAGCTCAGTAAAATTTGACAAAGCGGATAAACGAAACTAAAGTATACACGAGAAAAAGGAAAACAAAAAGCGCGAATGAAACCAGACGTTTGCGTACGAAACAGGACCGAAATGGACAAAGGAAATGCAGGCAAACCGAACGCGGATGAAAGCAGAGATTTGCAATTAAAAGCAGATGTTTGCGGATAACATCAGATGTTTGCGGATAACATCAGATGTTTGCGGATATAATCAGATGTTTTCGGATAAAATCAGATGTTTGCGGATAAAATCCAGATGTTTACGGATAAATGCAGATGTTTGCGGATAACATCAGATGTTTGCAGATAAAATCAGATGTTTGCGTATAAAATCAGATGTTTGCGGATTAAAACAGATGTTTGCGATTAAAATCAGATGTTTGCGGATAAAATCAGATGTTTGCGGATAAAAGCAGACATTTGCAGATTAAAATAGATGTTTGCGTATAAAATCAGATGTTTGCGTATAAAATCAGATGTTTGCGGATTAAAACAGATGTTTGTGGATAAAATCAGATGTTTGCGGATAAAAGCAGGTGTTTGCGGATAAAAACAGATGTTTGCGTATAAAATCAGATGTTTGCGGATAAAAGCAGATGTTTGGAGATTAAAACAGATGTTTGCGGATAAAAGCAGATGTTTGCGGATAAAATCAGATGTTTGCGAATAAAATCAGGTTTGCGGATAAAAGCAGATGTTTGCGGATAAAAACAGATGTTTGCGTATAAAATCAGATGTTTGCGTATAAAATCAGATGTTTGCGGATAAAATCAGATGTTTGCGGATAAAATCAGATGTTCGCGGATAAAACCAGATGTTTACGGATAAATGCAGATGTTTGCGGATAACATCAGATGTTTGCAGATAAAATCAGATGTTTGCGGATAAAAGCAGATATTTGCAGATTAAAATAGATGTTTGCGGATAAAAGCAGATGTTTGGAGATTAAAACAGATGTTTGCGGATAAAAGCAGATGTTTGCGGATAAAAGCAGATGTTTGCAGGTGAAATCTTATGAATCAGACTTTTGCGGACTAAATGAGATGTTTGCGGATTAAAACAGATGTTTGTGGATTAAAATAGATGTTCGCGGATGAAAGTAGATCTTCACGTATAAAAGCAGATGTTTGCAGGTGAAATCGGATAAAGAAGACGTTTGCGGATTAAAGTAGATGTTTGCGGATAAAATTAGATAAAACCGGGTGAATGCAGATATAAACTCAAATACAGGTATTTGCGGATGAAAACAGATAAAAGCAGACATAGATCTAAATAGATAAAACCCGACGTTCGCGGATAATATTTATACCCGCAATTGCAGATAAAAACCGACATGCCGGGTAAAATCAGATATATCGGATAAAAACAGATATAAATGGACATAAAACTAGCTTGGTTTTTTATCCGCAATCATCCGATATTACCCGTCTTTTTCAGCAGGGTATATAATAATAATAATGTCTTTATTGATTGTAAAAAACTTATTACAAACAAAAGGCGAAGTTCATGAACTGCAGTACCCTACACTAGGTAGTTCACTGCTCTTCCACTTAACCCTATAGTATTACAAGTTTCTAAAATGTTGGGGTTACCTAAAATTTAATTCCAAATATGTGAACAATATTGTAAACATGTTTAAAACCATATTTATGTAAGTAGGTACCTATGTATCATGTGTGTGTTAAAAATATCTGGAATTTATTGTTTATAATAATTGTTAACAATTATTGTCTTCTTCTTTTTCAGTGATCCACTAGTGGTATTACAGTGGTATTACAGTCTGCAATTACTTGCAGCAACTTTCTTGCATACAACTTTCTTGCACGAAGGCATGCGCATAGCGACGTTTCGTGCAAGTTTATTGCCGTTTCAAATTATCGGTCCTGCTCGATTTTTATTGCCAGTTCGGTTAGAATTGAAAAGTGTTTTACTGTCAGCAATAAATTTTGCATGCAAGAAAGTTGCATGCAAGAAAGTTGCTGCAAGTAATTGCAGACTGTAATACAGGCTGTACAATATTTTTATTGTTTAACTGGTGTAAAAATAGCTTACTTTGTCCATTGTTTTCGAGCGTATGTCTCAATTGTAAATGAGTGAGGAACAATATATCATTTTTAATGTTATAATTCATAACTTATTAACATTTCAAAACTCGTTTTGCAAATTATCCTCGTGCGAAAAAATGACGTCTTATCCCTATATGAATGGAGAACACGAAATTTTGAACGACCATAATCCCGTTGATATCAAAATCTAAACTTCCTTTCTGGACAAGTAACCTAACTTCCGGTTATCACTAGTCTTGTCATTTTGACAGCGAAATCAAATCAAAATAGTAACCTGGTTCTATTAGGTACTATAAGTTTAATTTTATTTCAATATTTTTTTCATGGATAATTAACTTGACAATAAATTTTTGTACATTTTTCTACGTAAAATTATGTTTATATGTTTTTTTCATGGATAATTAACTTGACATAATAAATTTTTGTACATTTTTGTACGTAAAATTTTTCAATAAAATTTGGGTCGTTTGGTGAATCCAGTGCCGTGCTTAGATTTCGTTTAAAAAAATCGCTAATATAAATTTTTAAAAATTTACTCTTAAAAAGTGAAATAGTAGGCCTTGTATTTTGTACAAATAGGGCGTTTTTTGCGCCCAAAAATACAGTTTATCAAGATCTACACTTAATAGATAGATTTTACAGGGGTGAGTCGCAAACAAATGGGTCACACTGTCACAAATTAGTATTTTCTTTTTTATGCAGATTGTACTGTTTAAGTTTGGCCTCTCAATTTCGGGACACCCTGTGTATATACTAATGGGTTCAGTTCAGCTGTTCCCACTATATCATTCTCACTAAATTTTCTAAATTTTTACATGATCTTTTTCACAAAACATACTATTTGATACTTTCCAGTTTGTTTAAATTAAATTATGATTACATACCTAAAAAATCAACTTTCTTTTCCCTTTTAAGAAAAAAAAATACATATTTAATTACTAACCTTTTATTACTTATAAAATCAACTTTCTTTTCCCTTTTAAGAAAAAAAATACATATTTTATTACTAACATTTTATTACTTATTAAATTCAATTAAAAATTCATACAAATCCAAGAAAAAAATATTAACAAGGGCGTAGCCAGGGGGTGCAGGGGACGTTTGCCCCCACATGCACTCCCAGCTTTATTTTTTTTTGTATACACACCATCATGGACTTAAATATAATGCTTCTTACATGTGCACCTGTGATCAAAATCCTGGCTAAGTCCTTGCAAATTTATAAACAGAATAATATATATTCTTATGTCAAATAAAGAAATAGATTGTTTATTTTGGAATAAAAGCCTGTTTGCTGCCATCCTTAATTCTTTGCAAAATTTGGGTTACCTCCTCTGGTGTCTCTTCAGTTATTTTCACCGCATTTTTTGTTTCTGGTAGTTGCTGAAAAAAAATAAGAAAACAATTTAAAATTAGATATTTGAAAGCTACAGCCTTTTCACAAAAGGTATTTTTATGTTTTTTTTTTTTCAAACTTAGTTTTCCTATGTTAATTGAAACTTATTATTCATCAAACAAAAAATTTGAATATTTTGATTTTCTTATGTTAAAAGTACTAAATAAAAAAAAATATATAAACATAGTGCAAGAAACAACTCCTTAGCTATTGGGCCTTAAAAGTTTGTCCCTGAAATTTTTTTTTTAATATTTCCAAACGTTTCAGCCACTTATACTTGTAGGGGCGCCGGATAGGCCTGTTGTGTGTGTTAAGATTCTATAGTGGAATTCAACACATGGAATAGATAATCAATCAAGGTCACTTTTTTGTTACATTACTGGTAAGGTGGGGTTTACCAAACCCCAAATGAAAACGGCGATTCTGCGAAATCAAAATAGAAAAACGCGTATGTTATTTAATTTTGGGTAACCTTTATTGATTATTGTACATACTTTTAACAAAAATAAAAAAACAAAAATTTTATCAATAATTTAATTTTACTGTGGGACTCCACAAAATCACTTCAAAACCTATTTTTAATTGCTATAAGTAATCAAACTGAAAATACAGAATAAAAAAACTACAAAATAGCGAAAAACATTTCTAAAATTCGTTAAAAAACATACAAAGAAAAAAAGTTTTAACAAAATCGTATTTCTAGTAAGGTTGGGTTACACAAACCCCAATTCGTACAAAAATCGTAATATCGTACACTAAGTAAAATATCTGGGTTTTTTGACACCGGTAGAGTACTGACGGACAACTGACCGAAAGCTACACAGGGGGTAGCGAGCCTCGCACCATTATTTAATACGTGGTAAAGATTCTTAGAATGGGTGGGGTTTGGGAAACCCCACCTCACCAGTTACGGAATATGCTTATTTGGCTGCCCTTTTTAACGTGTAGATAATGTTTAAGAGACCCTAGACTCTAGATAAAACAATCGAAAATCGTTCTACATAACCTAACAAAATCAAGTGAATCTTTTAAGGATATGGAAAATTTTCAATTTTTATTTATGTTGACAATGACAAAAAGTTGATCGTACTCGTTAAAATTATCTCGGGACGAGAAATTTCAACAAATTTGTATTCAAGCTAATGAAAAATTTTACGCAAAAGAAGCCGAATTACCACGACGTAAAAGAATTCGCTTTGATTCTGAATAAAAAAATAATGAAAACAGTGTTTTGACACTGCCAAAGGTATTTATAGAAAATTTTATTATGAAGTTTACGATCAAGTTCTTTCGTCATTGAAATGCCGCTTTGGAACAAATTCAGCGAATTTTTTTAGATCTTTTGAAGCCTATATGCTCGGTGAAAATGGCCATGTAAATAAAATTATCCTATTCTATAAAGATGATTTTAATAAAAATTCTTTAGTTAGCGATAGAGAAAAATTTGGGAGAGGTCGTGGATTGTTTTAAAATACATGGGTCAATGGCCTTTTTTCTGAATTGTTACGATTTGTTCGATTACTAATTACGATTCCACCCTATTGCTCAAACAAGAGGAGATTTTTAACCGTTAAAAGATTAAAATCGTACGTGCGAAACTCGATGGGACAAAAACGTTTGAATAATGTTGCATTATTACATATTTACCACGAGTTGGCAGACAAAAATTTAGAAAATCTGGTGGACGAAATGCGAAATGCGAAACGAACCAATGTGTATGATTTGTCAAAAGATCTTTTGTAAGACGTTTTCAGAATAAAAATATTGTAGGTAATAATGATTTTATTTTGGGTACACTAAACAACACTATAGGTAATTTATTGATATTGCTTAAAATAACTAATTTTTTAAAGGTCTCCCTAATGGAGCGTTTAAGAATTACGTAAGCACACTTTACATAATTTTAGACCCACACTCCTGTAAACGCAAAAATAAGAAAATCGTCCTTCCTTTCTCAGCAAAAGTAATCCAAAATTAAACCCCCCCCACCCCTATCTTTCCCACGTAATACTTAAATGCCTCCTAAACTATGACTACAGAATATTCTGTGCTATGACCCGGACAACAATCGGGATTTCCTGGTGAAGTCATGATATCACAACGTGATTTTTTTTATCACGGTGTGATATCCTGAGTGCATACACATGCTTCATTACAGTGATATCATGTAGAACTCACGGTATGATATTTGCAAAATTTGCGCATGCGTATGAGCCCTGCGAACTGCGAATTTAAAACCTAGTTTGTTATTCAAATTACACCGTTATAATTTATAAAACTTTGAATATCACAAATGTTTTCCGGGTTCAATTATTATACATAATATGTATATTGAATCAATCAATCATATATTATATGTATATCCATATATGTAGGTATACTTTTTCTCTCAATGTACGAATGTGGCGCAATAAATATCCAAACACCGATGGCATAAAAAATCACGACTTGATTTTTTATGCCATCGGTGTTTGGATATTCATTTTTGCGACACATTCGTACATTTAAAGAAAAAGTATGTTAACAATTGAATCAACAGTTTAACATTCAATATTTTCTTGGATTTAAATTAACTATATATAGTTTATTTAAATCCAAGAAAATATTAAATGTATTTAACCGCAAAAACTGTTGAATTAACATAATTTTTCTCTTAGTGTACGAACGTGGTGCAAAAATGATTATCCAAACACCGTTGGCATAAAAAATCACGACATGATTTTCATTTCTCACGCAGTGATATCCGGATGATGTTCGTATGAATAAAATTTGTGAAAATCACGACGTGACGTTCGTATGATTTTCATTTTACGCGGTGACTTCCGTATGATATCAGTATGAATAAAATTTGTGAAAATCACGACGTGATGTTGGTATGAATATCACGAATGTTGTCCGGGAAACAGCGAAGGCATAAAAAATCACGACATGATTTTCATTTCTCACGCAGTGACATCCGGATGAAGTCCGTATGAATAAAATTTGTAAAAATCACGACGTGACGTTCGTATGATTTTCATTTATCACGCGGTGACTTCCGTATGATATCAGTAGGTATAAATAAAATTTGTGAAAATCACGACATGATGTTCGTATGAATATTACGAATGTTGTCTGGGGACTAGACCTACTCAACACACGCTTTCAAAACGTTCCTGCGCCCCTGTATACTTATAACTGTAAAGTGTATTGCCAAAATCTCTGCCACATAGTAGAAACGGTTTACGTGGTAACGACTAAATTTTTTTATCAACAACGTTCTTGGATTGTATACAGACACGTATATACCACGTTGTGATTACGTTACTATAACGTGGAGGTAGGTATAGTGGCGAAAACTTTACTACTATTTACTTTCTATATTCATCTCTTTCCAGTATATTATTTATCTTATTAGCTTTACTTTCTCTGAAACCGGACATTAAACTGAGACTGAATACTAAAATTATTATAATGTAAGAAAACAACTTGCAAAGAATAACTAGAATTAATAATATATCCAAAGACATAAAATTTACACAAATAAAATTTTTCTGTCAAACATGGGAGTCATAGCTCGAAATAAAAGCACGCCCCGTTGAAATATGTGGAAATAAAAAAGAATATAAAAATTTGTAAACTAAAAATTATTTATCTAGAGGCCACAAATAATTTCTTTATTATTTCTGGTCACCTGACACCAATAATTATGTATTAACGTGTTAAAATTTGGTGCGGTACTAACCAGAATTATTTGTAAACATGTCTGGTTTTGAAGAAGGGATCTTTAAATTGGTAATCCTATGCGCAACCTGGAAATCACTTAAGCATGTAGCAAGAACGTGGCAATGACCACCGCAATAATCAAGTTTTGCCACATTCAACGTTTGGGAAAAGTTCCAAAAACGTTGCCAAAACTGGTATACGACTTTACTACTACTTCCAAGTAATACTTAAGTGATGTGGTTGGGTTGCGGTTACTAGTATACTATTTAAGTTTAAGTTCAAACAACTTTAAGGTGGTTACAAAATTGGTCATAACATTTCAGATACCAGACTGATACATCAAAAAGTTATAAAACTATGAACTTCATAGTATGAAGTATATTCTGCTGGTGCAAATCACATTATTACAACTATGCTAATATAATATGAAAATATTTGTATCGTGGTATATTTAGTAATTTTAACGTAATTGCCACTCATTTGCGATGCAAAATCAGTTTTCGTCACTATGGGTTGCTTATTTATGTAAAAAAGTTCGGTTATTTAGGTAAAAAAAAGTCGGATTGTATTAACCTGATTAGAGGCAGTTTTATAGTAAAATTGATTTAAAGTTCGTCGATGACCTTGCACAAATGTCAATCCATATCAAACCAACCAATGATGGTTGCTGACAAAATTTATTTTTTATTTTGTTTACTTGCTGAAAACAGGTATTCATTAATTGTTTAGATGTTCAGTTTTAATAAGAGGTCACTTTGTATTGGTGCTATTTAGCTATTTTTCGCTCCTAAGATATTTCTGATTAAAAATACTAGATTTTAGAATATTTTAGCTATTTTTAAAAATGTTTTGAATTATATGATTCATTGCAGTTTTTTTTATTCATATATTTTTAAAAATGTTTTAATTAAAAAAAAAATTGATTTTTAAAGTGGGTTCCTTTTGCGATATTTTAGATTGAAAATACCCGATTTTAGATAAATCGCAATATTAGAAAACCTATTAAGAAAAGGAGGCCTACAACTTTTTAGTGAAATAGTAAACTATAGTTTATAAAGAAAAAATTGTCTTAGTTTTATCTTTTAAACATTTTTAGTTGTAAAATAGATTTTTTTTATATTTTGAAAACGTTAAAATTTACCTTTTTTGTTGTTTATTTAAAATTAAGTAGGCCTTTATACATTCATAGATTCGTCATTCAAAAATAAGAAAAATATAAATATAAACGTAGGTCCGAAAATTCTTAGTTTGTCCGAATTTGTTAAAGTTTGAGAAATTTAAGAAAATGTTTTTTTGTTTTTACCATTTTAGTTAGAAGAAAAAATGCCACCAGATTGCTTATATGACCGACTTTGTAGCTCCCATAATAACTAACAGAGTTTAACTAATATCAATGGAGAGCAGATAACTTGACACAGTGTATAATATAAAGAGGCTTTACAGGGGCTTTAGCTCACTTAGGAGTCATTCCTCACACTATGTTTATATAACATTTTAATTTCTACCACCTGGTAAATTTTTCGACCTTTTGTTAACACCCTGTATATTATATTTCACTTTATTAATACACAATGTGTCAAATTGTATACTATATTTCACATTATTATTAATACACATATTGAATTTAGTTTCAGAAGTAATTAGTACCTAATTTCCCTTTTTAATTTTTTTTATTTTACAAGATTAGTTCATACTAGAAACTTCATAGTAACCAGAATGTTTTATTTAAGGAAAAAATATTTACCACTCTTTCCTGAGAAGATGATTGAACGGGTTCACTTGTATTACCAGTTATCTGGCTTATTCGGTGACGTTCTTCATGCTTAAAATTTTTACGTACAGAAGGTGGTTCAACGTCTTTTCTCCGCAATATTTCGTTTTTTTCAAGATGACTTGTAGGGTCATATGTAGAGGTGCCAATTTCCTATAAAAATATATTATTTTCATTTATTACTGTTTGTGTAAACTTACATTGGACCAGTCATCTCCAAGTGCCACAGTATTATCAATTACTGGGAATTTGTTCGGATTATAATCTTGAGTTCCACAGATTATAACCTCAGCAACTCTACGATCACAACATATTTCATGATGATACTAAAAATTTCAAGACAAATTAAATTAAAACAAAACACTGTTTCTAAGTGTTTTTTAATTAAAGAGAAATAAAAAGCACTTCATTAAATTAATGAAGGTGTCCAAAAAATGGCAATACCATGTGCCTATTTACAAAAAGTATATTAAGATAAATACATAATAATAAATAAATAAATGAGAAACCCTGTATTTTTAAATTTTTTAGTTTATATTTTAATAATACCAAAATATATTAAATTTTTGAATTAATTTAGACTTAAAATAATTTACTTTTTATAATTTTACATAGTTAACTAGTTAAATTTAGAGAATATAAACTCAAAAATTTAAAACATTTATTTTATTTATATTACTATTATTATTATTATGGTTGACAATCGAAGGCGGTAAAACCGATGAAGCTGTTGTTACTTCTTTAGATTTACTGGTTATTTACAGGGCGTCTAGAAAATGGAGGACTAGCATTTTTAGCCAAACCTTTCCTTGTACCGGGCCGTTACAGGAATGTTTTAATAAAAATATTAATTTTGATAAAAGGCTGTCGTGATAAGGTCTTGCAATGGCCTTTATTTAGACTAATATTTGTATATTTTACCATAAAAGACCCATATATGGCAATTTTCAGTATCAAGTTAATGGGACTAAAAAACCATTGAAGTGCCAAATGTTTTCTGAATATAAAACTTAAATGAACTTTTGGTTAACGCCATATTTAAAAAATGACGCCCAGTGTATTTCCTATAGTTTTAATAGTGTGTTATACCACATACAAAATAATATTACCTAATGGTTGTTAAACTAAAATGAGTTAGGAGGTGCATTTTTAATTTTATAAACTCTTATTAGAAACAAATACCGCCAAAAGAATTTAGTAGAAAAGTTTAATTGATAAGGTCAAAATTCGGGCAATTTCGAAAGAAAGATATTAATAATAGCAAGGAAAACCTGGTTTTCTTTTTTAGAGGACATTGCTGTGTATTTTATTTTTTCTTGTAAATTTATGAGTGTTTTAGTATTACATTTCACGATATTATATTAATTAATGTAATGGATAAGATATCAGAACCAGCGCGCAATATCAAAAAATAGAATGGTTCTTGTAAGTGCCTTTATTGACTTCAGCAGCTGTTACATGCCCCTTAAAGGTTAACGCGGCATAATATGTATACATACTGTATACAGTTCCATTAGAGTTAGTTAGTTAGTTATAGCGCCTTTAGTTCATTATAGAACCTTACCGGTTGTGTTTGCTGGGTTGTATAAATATTCAAATATTAAACTGTCAATGCAAACGACTTATTTATCAAAAAAATGTTACCAAATATCTGGGCCTCTATATGGACAAGATGCTAAGGTGGGAGTCCCACCGTGGGACAAACACATTGAAGGTAACATGGGTAAAATCCGAAAATAATGTATGCATTTTATTTATTGAGAAACATTTTGGGTACAGAAATGTTAAAAACGGTATACAACGCAATTGTGCAGCAAATTCTTAATTATGGCATGTAAAACTGCTATAAAGCAAAAATATGTCATAAAGTAGGTATTGCTAAATAAACCTAGAATAACACCAACTAAGCCAGCATTTAACATTTGAAACCGATGTTGGCAAGACTGTGGTTGACTGAATGATAATTATTTTTATATTTAAGAATACACATGTGCAGAAAATTTCATATCGTTCCGGACAGGAACTTCCGGTGAATATTTTCGAAGTTACACGCAAATGTGAAAAGGCGTTTCAGAGTGCTTGGAAGTACAAGGCCGAAGCGGCAGCGACTACCTGAACGCTGTCCCTTTTATGCACCTGCCTATTGTAAATGCTCCCTTCTAATGTATTTATATGTGTAAATCAACAGTGTGAACAGGGTGTATTATATGGGCCTGGAATAGACGACTCCCTCTAAGTTAAAAAAAAAAATTATCCCATGTACTTAAGTGCATTCCAAACTTTAAACGCGTTTTTCACAGAATGGTGTTTTCAAAGTCGGTGACCAACATTACTCGAAAACGGCTAAACCTATTAGTCTCAAATTTTAACATGAGCTTCTTTAATATATTTTTTAGTAAATAATCGAAAATTTTTTCTCTCCGATAAATATTTTTGTTTTTATAAACAACTTAAGGCCGAAATTTCGGTGAAAAATCGATTTTTTTTTGAGAAACCGCCATTTTGTCAAAAAATTTTATTTTGCTTATTCCTTCGATTTATTACTAGATTTAACATTACTTTAACGAAATCTGTTTGGTTTTTTAATTTCAGATGATCCAGTTCAGAGATATAGTGGTCACCGCAAAACGTCTTTTTGAGAGGAGCTCCCGGGTCTTAAAATATAGTTAAAAGATACCATAATATGTATATAAATTTTTGGATCAATAAATTTAAGTTTTCTCAGAAAAAATTCTGGAAAATTCACTTTTTTCGGCCTTCTAACTGTATATAACCCCTTAAAAACAAAACAAAGCTTAATGAGATCGGCTCAGCAAGGCTTTGCCTTTACGCTCGCGTGGATCCCGGGACACTCTGGGATACAAGGCAACGAGACTGCGGACTGGCTGGCTAATTTTGGCCGCTCATTAACACACTCCCAAAACGAAAAAATTACCTCGGCAGACTTAGAACCGACAATTAAAGCAAAGATCGCGACAGAAAACAATCAAGAATGGAGTGAGATTCGCAATAAAGGTAAATGGTACAAAGAAATTACGAAAAACTTTCCAAAACAACCGCTTGTAAATAAATTTGGCTACCTAAAAAAACGGCACTTTAGAATAATAGCTAGGCTTAGAGCGGGGCACTGCAAAACGAGGGCCCATCTTTACAGGATGGGACAATTTGAAAACTAACAGTACACACTGTAAAACCCAACCAAAAAAATCCCAAACCCAAATACAAACAAAAGGGAGCAACACACCAAACCAATAATAACAAACTAGAGGATGGGTCTACCCAGGCATTCCTAACGGGATCCTCTAGTGGATTTATCACAAAAAGGAATGAGTTGGCCAAATAGTCTACAGACTAAATGCCAACAGCGCTATCCCGAATGAAGTAAGGATAGCAGTAACGAAGAAGATCTTTACTTTTAGGCATAATACAAAGATTTTAAGCACAAAACAATATAACTAACCTTGACAATTATCATAACTGTTAAGCAAAAAACAATATAACTAACCTTTATAAATATTCAATGGCAAATTTTGTTATTGTAAACAAGGTTGGCATTACGCCGCGCAAGCGTAGATTCATTTTCAAGTAACATAATTTAAGAAGTTAAAAGTTGGCCAACTTTACCTTACATTACTTTACATTATATGCTGGCTTATCGCGTCCATAGAGTTATACAGTTTTAACTTTTAAATTAAATTACGTTACGTTTCATTAAATGCTGGCTAAATCTACCATAAGTCTCCTTATATACATAAGGTCCACTTTACTTCAACACAAAGAAACTTTTGTATGGACACATACAGTGGCAGCTATTGGATTTTGGGTATACCGATATCTCAATTATTAGATATGGGACCCACACCAAATTTATGAGTTTAAATTCTGTACACGTGTATCTGGATGTTAAATAAATAAAATAAATAACTTTTTGCTCGGCCGTACCGGCCCAATGGCGCCCCCAATAAATATATAATATAAACGATGTGGCTCCCGTCCCGAGGCGGGACTTAAGTTCAGTCCCGATTGACGTCACACACTGTAAATCCGTTTTTATTCCCCGAGATTTTATAATTTGTGTCAAGCTCGATGGCTTAGATGGTAGGGCGGTCGCTTGGCATGCGAAAGGTACCGGGTTCGATTCTACTGGAAGTTGTCAAACTTTTTTTATTTTTTTTATTTTATAAATTTGTTGTTTCTTTGTTAAAAAGTGTTTTATTTTTATCGTAACATAAATTTGCCCATTTTAGTTGGGTTTTTTGCTCAATGGGGCGGGGGGGGCACAATGGGGCGGGGTCGGTTGGGTTGTGTTGTTGAGTTTGGGTTGGTTTGGTTTTATGACGTAACTAAAGTGCCCTCCTTAACATGTATACAGGTACAATTTATTATTATTATTATTTTATTATAACATAACAAATCTTAAAATTATGACGTCAATCGGGACTGAACTTAAGTCCCGCCTCGGGACGGGAGCCACAGCGTAATATAAATTTAATTGGTGCAATTTATTATTTACCATAGTTAATCAACAAATTTCAAATCATTTTAAATTTTTATTATTTCTTTGAAAAGAAATATTAAAAATTTAAAATTTTATAAAATCTGTATAATTTGGATTTTTTAAATGAAATTTGCCAATAAACTATGGTAAATAATAAATTGACCAATTAAATTTATATTAAATTTATTGGGGGCGCCATGGGGCAGGTACGGCCGAGCAAAAAGTTATCTTTTTACCGCAAACTTCAATTTAAATTCTGCTTGCGCAGAACTTTGGTCTGGGTCCCATATCTAATAATAATTATAACAATTATTGAGATATCATTATACCCAAAATTCCAATTCAACCACCACTGGACACATAAGCTTTCCTAATATTTGCTCAAGAATAACATTGCTTGAAGAGTAATAATTACAATTATTGTACTGACACAGTGTCAGCGACACTGTATCTGATTTAAATGCTTCAATATATTTACTAGTATTTTATTTTTGTATGTTTTTGACTGTATTCTACTCAAACTGTATTTTAGTTTTCCTAAAAAAATTGTAACTAGTCGTTTATTATATATTTTTGTTTCTATAATAGTCCAACAAAGTTTAGGGTTTAGGGACTTTGGTCACAACATTGTTGAGTACTGTATAACCTGTTATTGTGGTAACTGAAACTGTTAATAAATTTGAATTTTGCACAGGTAAAAAAACCTTTACAGGTAAAATGAGGCTTTGCAGGTAAAAACAACATTTCACAGGTAAAAATCTGGATTATTGGTAATAAATCAATTTTTTTATCAGTATCTGTTAAACCAGTTTCTAAATACCAATATGCTGTATTTCATTCAGAATCTCATTTATAAATAAACTATGTATGAAACTGTTTTTTGGTTCAGTATTGTCCACATTTTCAACTACAGTACCTATGCGTCCACTCTTTTAATTTGTCTTAATTAGACAGTCTAATAAACATTGGCTTTTATAATCTGTGACTTTGGTTAATTTAATAGTGTTAAATGCTGTTTATTAACAAATTTAACCTAATTTGACAGTTTCTGTCATAAAACCAAAAGCCACAGTATTAATACACTATTTTATTTACATTTTCAAAGTATTATATATAATATTATTATAGTATTACATAAAAGAAATATAAAAAAGTTTACCTGTAATTCTGGAATTGGTATTTTATGGGTAACATTAAAATCACAAGTAGCCACTCGCATATTGGGGAAATTTTTTTTACACTTGGTGATATGAACTGCCATACGACTTGCAAGAATGTTATGTGATCGATCGTAAGGACAGATTTTCTTTTCTTCAATTGGGCTAAAAAAATATGATCAAACTTTTTTCCTTAATTTGAAATATTTTACTTACTCAAACATTTTGGTATAATTTATCGGTAAACAATGAACTAAAATTAAATATTGTTACATTAATTTATATTTTATTTTTAATAAAACACTAACCTGGTTTTTAAATGGATTAAAAATATCAAATAAAACTATAGAACAAGACAGCCTGCAAAGAAGACCAGTGTTTTCTGTCACACAGAAGTTCTTGTCTACGCAGATTATAAAGAAATGTTATAGACAGAGATAAAGAAGGTTATAGAAAGAAACAGCTGAGTCAGCTGAGTCAGTGTTACCAACTCTCAAAAATATTTATCCATAAAGACAAAGTCAAAACCCCCTAAAGTCGCCACAATTACGACCCCCACTGAACTACACATGTGTACTACACAATGTGTAGTACACATTGTGTAGTTCAGTGGAAACCCCCCTAAACAAATAATATATATATCGTGGGCGTACAAATGTCCACTTTTGCAATAATCCCGAAAATTGAAACCATTAAGAGGCCTATTCCCTTTCTTGTTAGAGTCCGTATAGTCCAAACGCGCATATTAAGGGGTCTATAACTATCTGTATTTTGACGTCCATATTTCTGTACTTAATACTCAACATTAAGAATCCATTAAGTACATTTAGTAAATTTTTGATATAGGTATTCTACAGCATATTATTAAGTCCAAATTTATATTGAAAACTAACAGGACAATGTTTATAACAAAAATATAAATAAAATGGTTTATTTAAATATGTTTTTCATTTAGTCATCAATAATTACTTTTAATTAGATAAAAAATCCATATTAATCTAGTTTAAAATATTTAAAATAAAAAATCGATTTTTTTTCACTACCTTACTGGAAAACTTAATTTTCCACCCCGAGCGAGGGAGGAAAATGCCTCTTTTCCTCCCCGGAAGGAACAAAAATTTCCTCCCTCTTTTTTTTTAACAATTTTACATTAGCAAGAGTTTTTGTACCTTGTCTTTAGCACAGTGTTGCCAGGTCCTTAAATTTATTTTCCCCATAATTTATTTAAAAAGTTGCCAGATTTTTAACAGATATATCTGGGGATATATCCCCAGATTTTTAAAATGAAAACTAATTTGTTAAAATACATACTTTATTAGTATACTTTTTTATCTATACAAAAATTATTATTACCTATAGATACAAACAAAACATGTTATTTATACATGGTATTAATAGCGCTAAAAATACGCTCCACCGCAGCACTACGTAGTACTGTGAGGGAGACATAAAATATTTTTTACTAAAATTGATAAAGTTGGAAAACCTTCAGTGTTATCATTATTTTTTAAAGAAAATACCTTAACCCAAAACGGTTTAAAGTCTTCTTCAAAATTTAAGCTTTCTGTATTCCTTAGCATTCTATTCTATCCAAATCGTTTAAATTTAAATTATTCGTAAATTTCTTAAATCGTGAAGCCGCTACAACAATGCTTTGTATTTTTGGAATATTTATTGGATCTAAAAATGACAACAGTTTTAAGCTCTGCATTTGATTTTTATTAAAAGGAAATCTTTTGTATATTTGGTGGCAACAAGATTTTACTTGCTCATCACCTAAAAACGCAGCGTATTATGATATTTAATGTTTAAAAATTTGTAATTAAAATTATATTATTAAATAATTATTTATTTTTAATTATCTCCAGATTAAGGATGTTTATAAAAAGTTTTCCCCAGTCCCCAAATACTTTTGAATTTCTCCAGAACTGCGGAAAAATCCCCAGACCTGGCATCACTGCTTTAGCAAGATCTTGCGGCATGTCTTCTTCGCTAGAACTCATTTTCAAAACGTAGGAAGAATTTCAAATTTATGATAAACATTCTGACAGCTTATAAAAACTGTTGTTTTACCAAAAATACCATAGCAACAAAGCGTTGTCAACATAACGTCGGCGACGCAACACCTACTTAATATTTTGTCATAATTGTATAGCCCTCGGTATAGCCCCATACCGGGTTAGTAAAAGGAACCGGAACGCTTAAAATGTCTTAAAACCGATAAAAGGTAATAGAAAAAACTATATATACATACCTCAGGAGGAAAAGCACTATTTTCCTCCCATGGTATGTAAATAGCTATTATGCATTCAGGTCAGTTTTAAAATGCGTTTTTCTCAAAACTATAAATTGTGGACTTAGCCGATTTTCCTTGTACGCCCACGACATATATAGGTATATATATATAATATATTATAATAAATTAATATTAATTAATATGAAATAATAATATATAGTTTTAATTTGTATCACATACTTAATACATTTGTTTTACAAAAATAAAATAAGTACTAAATAATATTCTGTACTGTAATATTTTTTAATATTCTTTATTCATATATTGTTTATTACGTCAAATATAATTTCGCCTTCTGATTCTGATTTTTTTAAATTATACATGTTAACATTAAATAAATTTAACATTGTGGTGGATGGATTAAACGTTGTGCAACAGAGACTCTGTTGTGCAAGATCCACCGAATTTTTAATAACAAGGAACTGTAACAGATGTCGCCAGCCACTAGGTCAACCCATATACTTACCACACAAGTAGAAGTATGTGAGGTCAACAAATAAATAGGTGTTTTCGCGGTGCTAATCCCGAACTAAAAGTCTATTCAAATCCAAGCTGGACTAAATGTAAACACCCCAGTAAGCACAAGATAGACGGGCCGCTTAAGGACCGAATACGTTTGGCCGAATTGGCCGCGTTCGGGCCGCTACACGGTACAAAGCCGGCATGTACACCGGGCATGTCCGCCCGGCCGCCTGGACGTCTTTGAGAGCTCGGCCGCCTGGTCGGCTGCGAGGGCTCGGCCGAGTGTCGGCCACCACCGTGTGGCCGGGTGACGGCCATCACCGTGTGGCCGGGTGACGGCCATAACTGTCTGGCCGAATGCCGGGCATGTACGCCCGGCCGAATGTCGGTTAATAGACGGCCACACGAAGCTGCAATAGATAAAATAATAAAAAAAAATCAAAATTATAAATAAAATGTTTATTCTTAAATAAAATTTCTACAAATAAATATAACAATATTCTAAAACATAAAATAAATATCATAAATAAATAAATCAGTTCAAAAAGTTTAAATGTACTATATAGTAAATTTACTATATATATATGTACATCAGTATAAGAACCAGAACATAGAAACAATAGAGCTTATACATAGTATACACGGAGAAAAATATATATTAAAATTTGTAACGTACTTTAAAACACTTTAACAACAATGTAGGCACAGAGTGAATGTAGGCGACCTGCCAACCATAAAACAATGTTTAACCATATAACAATGTATAACAATAACTTATGTTCTGTGCGACCTGACAACCATAAACAAAAACACCACAGATTATAAAAGAAAAACACTTTCAACGCAATTATAACAAACACACGCAATGGCGGCAATGCACTTGTCGGACAACAGAATTCTGTTGTCCGTTAACGGACTGAGCATGGTTGATAGCTATTGGCCAACGCGATAACCCAGCAAGAGCGGCTAATTTAAATCTCGCCCAAATCCAATTTACAATATTAAATCGTGATGCTGGCCAGGTTCTGGACGGCTTCGGCTAGAATATGGCCATTCGCTAACCGGGCTTACATACACGGTCCGTACGCGGATCGGTTGGGGGCAAGCCGAACCGCATATGCAACGGCATTGCCACAGTAAACTGTGGCATTGCCGCTATCTAACCGAACAGGGTTAGACGATGGCCACACGGTAAACGGGCTACCATAATGAGGACCGTAAGCGGGCCGCCTGGGGCAAGCCGAACAGCCGGCCCGCCGCTTGTGCCGAGCGGAGGCCGACAGTTTGCCGAATGCCTTGTGCTTACTGGGACAATCCTCCGAATCGACCAATAAGAACTCACAATCCGAGTCACACCATCAGAATCGACCAATACGAACGAGTTATCATGCGTCTGGGCGTTTTTGTTTAGTCCAGCTTGGATTTGAATACACTTTAATTCGGATATCCTAGGCATGCGCATTTTAATATTTTCATGTGCACTTTAAAATTTGAACGCCAAATTTTAAAAAGCGCATGCCTAGGATGTCCGGAATTAGTTCGGGATTAGCTCCGCGAAAATAGCTATTATTAACGAGATTGGGTTATCTCAGGTTCTATATTTTTACACTTTTATTCTCTTAATGATAAAAATAATTGATAAAAAAAATAAATATCAATATTAAAAAAATCCCTAAAAATACCCCAAAAAATATAAAGCCTCTAAAAAAATCCCATCCGACTTATTTACCACCTAAATTTGCGGAGGGGAAACCCCTAAGTTGGCAACACTGAGTTGAGCTGAAAAATACAAATAACACCAACCTAACAAGTTTAAATTTAGACTTGTTAAAATAAAAATACAACCATTGACTTTGTACCGAAGTCACTGAGGTAGGATTAAATCCGGCAACGTCGCAACCTTTCTGATCACAATTTTAATTCCCTGCTGTATTTTTCTAGTTTGTTCCATATACCTATAGGTATATGGTTTGTTCCTTAGAGTGTTTTGTTACTCTAAGGTTTGTTCCAACGCTGCAGCGCAACATAGCATAGCAACATGTTGCTATTCTACGTTTCCAAAAAATACCAATTTGGGTTGGATTTGTCTAAAATTGGTTAGATATTAAACACAGAGATGTCGCCACCAGTGTTTATTCCGTCATCCGATGATAGAATAAATTTAAACTTAATTTTTTATGTGATCTCCAATCTCCGTCATCCGAAAATCAAAAAATCAAAAAATGTCGAAAAAATACTAGAACCCTAATGTTTATCGTTAAATAAAATGCTTTTGTAAAGAAGTGTAATTTCTTTGAATTCATTAGGTAGGGGCGGTAAATTTGTATTAGCCAAAATTTTATAATCCTATAATATTTTTTTTTATACCCCGCATAGGTAATTCTAGCTGGCTCTGCTACTGTATCTTAACTCACTATAGGTCAGTATAATAATAAATATGGTGAACAATTTATAAATTGTTTAACATATTAAGTTATAATTATAGTATGGCAAACAAGACTTTTCCTGGGAAGATACGTTTTGTCTCGCTTGCCAAACCATAAATAATCCTAGATATATAGGGTTCAAATTGAGCCCTCTTAATCCAGCCTTCGGATTTCAGACGAATTTCTTGTCGAATTATATTAATTTATAAAAGTTAACTTTTATAAATTAATATAATTCGACAAGAAATTCGTCTGAAATCCGAAGGCTGGATTAAGAGGGTTCAATTTGAACCCTATATATCTAGGATTATTTATGGTTTGGCAAGCGAGACAAAACGTATCTTCCCAGGAAAAGTCTTGTTTGCCATACTATGTAGATTATATAGGATTAGACCAAACCAGACCTCTGGTTTGGTCTAATCCTAGACAATCTACAAATAGGTGTCTCTGGAACAAACATATAACATTGGTAATTTTATGACTTGTTATTGGCAGTACTGAGGTTGCTATTGCAGGGTTTCCAGATCTTCGAACCAAATGCTTTTAGAATTAAAGTCATTACAGTAATGACATTACTCTATGCATATACACATTTGTTTATTTGTTATTTGCAACTGTTAGAATCCAAAATAAAATTAAAAAAATAAAAGTTTTCTGTCAGTGCATACTTATTGACTTTTTAAATGTGGCATCCTTGCATTCCTATTTGACATTTAATGATAATTGTGCAGTGGGTGCTATTAAAAATTATATTGTTTAAATAGGTAGTTAAAATATTATAAAATATTGTTAGAGTGTTCATCACAAATTATATGCAATATGGCGTTAAAAGGACAAGTTGGGCAAAGTAAGTTATTCTGTACTTCTGTCTTTATGACTGCATTGAAGAAAAAAACATACCAGATACCCTCTGTTGACTCTTTAGAAGATTAATTATAAATTTGTTAACCATTTCCTTTATTTCATAATATTTTTATTTTGTTTATGAATGTGCAATGTTATTGATTTTATTGTAATATTTATAAATGTATAATGACGTCATACAATGTTGCCAGACATCTCGTACCCGATCTGCAGAAGAAACTTTAATATACAGGGTGTTCCTAAATGATGTGGTTATACCTTTTTTTTAATGATTTCAAGAAAAAAGTATTTTAAGTATTCGAATTTACAAATCGAATTAAATAATTTGAAATTTAATTCAAATATTGGAATATTGGAACTATTCAAATACTTTGAATTAATAGTTAGAGTTAGAGTTATTCAAATAATTTTTTTTTTAATAATAATAATTATCGTTTAATAATTGCTGTAATTAGTGGTTTCAATTATTAACACAAAACGATCATTCACAATGCGCAAAATTAACATCTAAAATTTATGGAATTTGCTTTGACATAAACAAAATCAGGCTTACCTCCACTGAAAATTCTTTAATCTTTTTGGGGGCGTTGGGTCAATATAAGCTTTTCTGGCCTATAGGCATTTCTTTGGCAGTCACTGGTTTTCTTGCGTCAGAAACAGCTGTCAACGATCGAAGTATTATACTATAATAGTCGGCCTAGGGTTACCAGATTCTGTCAAAAAAAATCGGAACATTTTATATGAATTTATATTATTACAAAATTAATATAATGATACCATGCAAATTGTAAGTTTGTAATTAAGGTTAATTCACACAAAATGTCCCGATTTTTTTTGACAGAATCTGTCGGCCCCTTAATATCATCGACAGCATTACCCAGTAAGCACCTACCACTCGGCCAACAGTCGGCCATTGCTCAGGATAAGCGGTTGACTGGCAGTTCGGCTTGCCCCCAGCGGCCCGTGTTATGTTACCCTGGTTACCGGGTGGCCTAGTAACCGAAATCGGCCGGAATACGGCCTGCCGCGGCATAGGCGATACACCTCACGGCTGCTCATTCACGCTAGCTAACTATAAATGGCGATGTGTTGAAATATTTAGTTGGATGTGTGCGTCTGTATGGCTAGCTAATTGAGTGTGTTAAAGAAGTATCTTGCCATTTAGACTAAACCTATAGGATATATCCAGGACGTCTGTAAGCTTTTTCTGGTTCAGGCGGTCGTGGCCTGCACTCGGCCAACTATACGAAATTTGGCCGAGAAAACATATATGTTTACTCGGCCGACATTCGGCCAGGCGGACATAGTCGGTCTTCTTGCCGAATCTCATACGTGTTTCGGGCCGGACGCGGCCAATTCAGCCAAACTTATTTGGTCCGTATGAAGGCTGGCCAACTTGTGCTTACTGGGTACCTACCGAAAAAACACAGGCAGACTACTTAGTACGTCGACCTCAATAGCCTACAACCTGGCTTACACGTTTGGTAGGTCTTGGTTTAAACGAATCCATTGGCTGCCAAAAAAATGCTTAAAAATTATGTTAATTTTCATAATTTTTTTTATTTAAAAACTACGAAAGCGTACTGGGGTCACAAAATTATAATAAAATTATTTTTTTCAATATATTGGATTTATTTCCAATATATTGAAAATAAATCCAATAAATTGGAAATAAATTCAATATATTGAAAATAAATTCAATATATTGGAAATAAATCCAATATATTGAAAATAAATCCAATATATTGAAAATAAATCCAATATATTGAAAATAAATCCAATATATTGAAAATAAATTCAATATATCGAAAATAAATTCAATATATTGAAAATAAATCCAATATATTGAAAATTTGGCTTTCTTCTTTTACTACTAGGGGCGCTAATTTCCATTTTATCGCCGCCGGTAATACAGGCACCGTTACTGTCAAATTGTATTTCATTTGACAGCACATTTTTTTGGTTTGTTTTGAACTTACTAAAATAAAAATTAATAAATATGAATAAAGAAAATGCTTGCAAGAATTGTGACCGGTCATTTTCTAATAAATAATAAATAAAGTGAGTTCATATTTTAAATCTTAACTTTGATGCTCAAATTAACGGTACTAAGGTTACCAGATTCTGTCAAAAAAATATGTATTTGTATGAATTTATCTTAATTCCAAAATTGACATAATGATACAATGCAAATTGTAAGTTTGACGTTACGTAATTATTGTTGATTGTGTCATTTTTGTAATTAAGGTTAATTTACACAAAATGTCCCGATTTTTTTTGACAGTATCTGGTAACCCTAAACGGTACCTGCATTACCAGCGGCGATAAAATGGAAATTAGCGCCCCAGTAGTAAAAAAAGAAAGCCAAATTTTCAATATATTGAATTTATTTTCAATATATTGAATTTATTTCCAATATATTGGATTTATTTTCAATATATTAGAAATAAATCCAATATATTGAAAAAAATAATTTTATTATAATTTTGTGACCCCAGTACGCTTTCGTAAAAAACAGTAGCACTAATTTAAAAGTTATAGAGGAAAAACTTGCTTACTTTGGCCCCCAAGGAATGACAACTTATTACACCCTGTATGCAATAATAATTAATTTTAACACAATAACTAAAAATATTAGAAATTTTCGCACTACTGCGGTAATAAACATTAAAAAAAACTATCGAAAACTATCGGTAGGCCGACTACTGAACTATCTATCGATAGTTTTTCGACCTCAAACCTGAAGTGGCGCACAGTGGGGCAGACAATGGACGTACGAATTTTTAGCATGGTAATTTTCAGCAGACACGGCCCGACCCGGCGACACATGTGCAGGAACAATCCGACTTGGACACGGACACGAACAATAACGACCAAGACGTAGACCCCTGCAGCAAAATAACAACTCCCCAACTCCAAACAGTAATCCCAAATGTTTGGAGTAATACTATTTTTCTGGTCTAGGGGGATTCCGCGTCGTACTTAGAATTGAGTCCGCGTAATTGTCCCCCAATCACCAAAATGTCTATCTCTCCCGTCCTACATCCTTCATGACCCTACTGGGCGTATAGCAACGTCCCGGCGAATCCGGGAATGGCTATTTAAACTATTGGCATTTCGCTCTCGAGCCCTAAATAGGGGACAGTACGGGACGCAATGGACATTCGCACCCAGCAAACAAGGGTAAAGTCGTGCCGTTGCTGGAGGAGAAAGTAAATCGTCGTAAGGAAACAAAGACCTGTGCGGGGCCCGGGAGCGATGAGGCAATGGGGCCGGTTATAGGTCTCTTACTAATGTATTTAGTATAGCTAGCTAGCTTAATAAGATAACAAATCTATAACTTTGTTATTGATAACAAATATTACCTTTTTATTATGAAAACGTCCTTGTGCTTTCTGAGGTGGTTTCATATACAATGGACACTACATATTTATTTTTATAATTATTTAATTGTTTATGTTGCAAAATTTAAAATTAGGATTAGAAACCAAAAAAATATTTTACAAACATAAGCTATTTTTCCAGAAATTATGAACGAGGTAATAAAGCATAAACCAAAGAAAAATGGACCCGCTCATGGAGTGGAATGGAGAGTTTTGGTTGTGGATCAACTTGCCATGAGAATGGTTTCAGCCTGTTGTAAAATGCACGATATTTCAGCTGAGGGCATCACATGTAAGTGTTTTCAGTTGGTTAAGAATAGGGCTGATATACAAAACAATATTACATGTAAAGGGTATACCCTCATTTATAATATTTGTTTTTTTAGTGGTTGAAGATATAAACAAGAAAAGAGAACCCTTAAACACCATGGAAGCAATATATCTAATAACACCATCTGAAAAATCTGTTCACTCACTGATGAACGATTTTGAATCGCCAAGACTTATGTACAAAGGGGCACATGTATTTTTTACTGAAGGTATGTTCTTTAAATTACACAGGTCTACAAAGTTAAAATTTAATTGGCTGTTGTTTGAGAATTAAAAGTGGATTTTAAAGGTTTTAGACCCGCTTTAACGGAATTTGTTAAATATATTTAATATAAGTATATGGTAAAAATTCCATTAAAACAATGTTTTGTTGTTGGCAAAAATTACCAATGAAAACCTTATTAATTTTTTATTAATATTCTCTATCCTCAAACATTGATTTCTTTGTAGACCTGATTTATTTCCTTATTTTATTTGAAGTGTAATGGGAGAAGTTACAAAAGTTTGACAGAACATACATATAAGTTATTTAACTCCAATTTTATTTCTTAACTTAAGTTAACTTAACTGTTGTGCAAGATTTTATTTGACAGATGTCAGATAAAATATCAAATAAAATTGGCTTTAAATTCTTGGTTGTTGTTAAATAAAATATTGTGTGCCTCAAAATGGTCAAAAGAGGAGATTCCACTCGCGTGTTACTTCACTCGCTATGCTCGTGCGGCAAAGTCCACGCTTGAGGAATCTCCTCTTTCTCCCACTAGTCGCACAATATACTATAGTTGATCAGGTTATTGATAAAACGTGTTTCAAATTTTTGTTTATTCACCTGTTAAGAACTTGACCCTTTTTGCACATGTTTATAGGTTAAATTTATTTTAATCATTTAACAATTTTATTCTACTACTTTTTTGTTTTGTTTACAAACCCAGGCCATAAATAAAAATTACTTAAGTAGAAATCGATTGTCATTTATTACATTTTAAAGAAAATTTAAAATTTAATGTTTCTACATATCTAATTAATTTTTTTATATAATACTAAAATTATTTATTTTAAATTTAGTATTAAAATTACTATTAATTAATTGGCAATATGTTATATTAAATAAATTAAAAAACTATTTTAAATAAATTTAAAAACTATTTAAATTCTTGATTCTTTTTGCAGTTATATTTTAAAAATGTTATAAAACTAAAATTTAAATTGGAAAAAAAATATGCACAGCACTTTTTTAAACAAAAGTTTGATGTAATAATATTGGTCTTTAGGCAATTATCTACCTAACAGACTTAAATTTAAAAAACATTCAAATTTTATTAAATATTGTTTTAAAAGAAAAAAAATTACTTCTGTACTTTTGTTCATATACAATTATTATTATTTATATTTTTATTTTGTATTTTAGTTAATTAGATGTATTCAAAAATTTATTTTATATGAATTAACCACATTTAACTGGTTGATGAAATTGATTTGTAGTTTTTTACCCTGGCCCGGGTTTTAATTATTATAATGTTATAGTGAATTATTATTTTTTTATAATTTTATTATTAATTATTTAAATTAATTTCTACAGCATGCCCTGATAATTTATTTCAAAAATTGTCTCAACATCCAGTAGTGAAATATATTAAAACTTGTAAAGAAATCAACATTGCATTTATACCAAATGAATCACAGGTACTAGCTAAGTTTATATTAAATTTTTATAACTTTAAGCTTTAATAACTTTTTCATGGTGGAGTCATGCAAACTGTCTTGTTAAGATGGTGTGTACGAGTCTACTACACCAAAGATTAAATACGTTTTACAGTTTTTTTTATTTTAAAAGTATTTAATCTTTAAAACTACTAACTTACTAATATATGCTTGTTATGTCTACACAAGATGTGTGTGTGTTTAATTGTTATTTTGTTTTTATTATACAAGGTGTCCCTAAACTTAGTGGCATAAATTTGGGAGCAGATTAAGCAAGTCAAAATAATACGAAAATCTAAATAAATATTTTTCCTAATTAGGTATGTTTAAAAGATACAGGGTGATAAAGTTTACTTATCATATCAGTTTTTTTAATATAACTTCCACTATGGTAGACGTGGAAAGGTGATATTTTGAGAACAGTCACTTACTACCAAAATACATATTCACACATAATAACAATTGTTCGAGTGAATGCAGTGTCGTAGAAACAGGGGTTGCTTAAGCTTATTGTCCCATACAAACTTTGAGGTTAGGTTTTTATACCATTTGATGCATTTTTTCGATTACTCAGTTCGTCTACTATTAAAAAGGTATACCTCTCAAACTTCGATAAAATAAACCGTTTCCGAGATATCCGAGATTACAATAATTGTTATATCGCATTAAAGGACTAAAAGGTATATGATAACAAATTTTTTAATTGAAAAAACTACAATTTTTTTAATGTGACGGTCAGGGCAAAAAGTCTCGAGGCTCATGGAATGCCGTTTTTTAGTTTTTTCAATTAAAAAATAAAATTTGTTATCATATACCTTTTAATCCTTTTAAATAATGCGATATAACAATTATTGTAATCTCGAATATCTCGGAAACGGTTTATTTTATCGAAGTTTGAGAGGTACACCTTTTTAATGGTAGACTAACTGTGTAATCGAAAAATTGTATCAAATGTTATAAAAACCTAACCTCAAAGTTTGTATGGGACAATAAGCTTAAAGCAACCCCCGTTTCTACGACACTGTGTTCACTCAAACAATTGAAATTATGTGTGAATATGTGTTTTGGTAGTAAGTGACTGTTCGCAAAATATCACCTTTCCAAGACTACCAGAGTAGAAGTTATATTAAAAAAACTGATATGATAGGTAACACTTTATCACCCTGTATCTTGGAAACATAAGTAATTAGGAAAAATATTTATTTAGGTTTTCGTCTTATTTTGACTTGCTTAATCTGCTCCTAAATTTATGCCACTAAGTTTAGGGACACCTTGTATACTCCCAAATATTCACCTTACTTGTTTCTTTTGATGTAACCAAAAAGCACGTCTTTAAATTGTTATCATATTAAAATGTTTTTGCAACAGTCTGTCCCGAAGAACTCTTCAATGAGTTGTGTAAATCTTGTGCTGCAAGGAAAATTAAAACGCTAAAGGAAATCAACATTGCCTTCTTGCCCTATGAATCACAGGTGTGTGGTGTGTTTTAAGCTCTTTATAATTTTTGCTAATTAGTTGTGCCTTTGCTTAGCTTAAGTGTTTTTCTTTATTTTTACTTACTTATAGAATAATGCGATCACATATTTTGTAAAAGGATCAATTTTGAATTATTATCAACTGTTAATTCTGAGCCTTTTTAAATATGCGATTTAGTTTTCGTTGAATAAAATTTACCAGTAAAAAAATAATATTGTAAAGCGTTTACACTAATTTGACTGTAAAAAAATGTCCATAAACGTACAGCTTATAATGTCCCCAATGTAAAATGTAATTCTAGTTATAATTATTCTTAATAACCGTTTTTTTTTCGCCCCTGTATAAGTTTATGAAACTTTTTTGTACAGAATTTTGGCCGGATTGTTTTAAAAAAAAATGTTGTTAAAAATATAATTTGAATAATATACTATGCATTGGAAAAACCAAATATTTTAAATATAAATATTCTTGAACTGGTAATTTTATTTAAACTGTGTGCTTTTTCATTAAACTTCTGCGCTTTGGGTTAGTTTGTATTAATTAGAAGATATATGTGACCTGGAGCAATTATGTATATGAGGTATCGGGCCGATTTTTTTTTTAAATTATGTATATGCCTTTACAATGTATACTATACATGTGTGTATTTTTTATTTTAAAAGCCACAATGTAGGTCATATTAAAGAAAAGTAGCCTAATTGCCTATTAAAAGGACATTTGAAAATTGAAAAGAAACAGCGTTCTCAAACAATTCGTAAAACACTGAAAACCTTTTAAAACTAAAAATTAATCATTATTAACAAGAACAAAAATTATTATAACATGTTTATTCTTGGAAATTTTAAAATAAAATAAGTTTTACATGTAAACCTAAAAAATTATTTAGATTTTCATAATGTTTTTATAATGGTATATGGCCATAGTAAGTTTAAAAAAAAACATTGTTTCTAATCCTGTAAAATTCCAATATGGCGGCCAGAAGAAAAACAATAGATTTTATTGGTAAGATACCAACATCATCTTTTGTTTTTCTTACCATTGGAAACTCAAACGTCCAATGGTAACTCAAAACCTATTGGTAGAAAAAAATCACAAATTGGATATTACTATATCCAATATCCATTACTATATATATTATGATATATAAAATCCGCAGATTTTTTTCCAATTTTTAAATGTCATTTTAATAGACTTTTTATTACTCAAACTTTTCTCAGTCTTAATCTTAACTGACCTTCCAGATCATCAAATAAAAAAGATATCCATACATAAAAGGATACTTGGTGCACCCTGTATACAGGGTATCTCAAAAATGGCGTACCAACGGTATGCCACGATGTCGGGGGGAGAGGGTGTTATTTTAAATAAAAATAATACAAAAAATGGAATTTATTTATACAAAAGGATAGAAAACAATTTTATAAAGATGTTTTGAAAATAAAAAGTTAAAATCTGTTAATAATATCAAATAATGATACTTCTGTGAATACAGATTCTGTTAACCATGTATTTCAGTTGGCAGACGATGCATTGTTTATTTTGTTTCCATAACAACCGTCTTTGGACAGCGTTGCGTTGCTTAATAACTTTAAAAATATGTGGAAAAAAATTGTTATACTCGAAATATTCCCCCTACAACCTGGCATACCGTTAGTACATCCTGTATTATATATTATATTATAATATCTCTCTTTTGATTGAAGGTAGTCTGAAGTCTTTATAATCAAAAATAATAAAAAAAAATAAAACAGATTTTTTCCACCTGCTCGTCCAGCGCTTTCTCTCGGAAAAATAAATTTCGGTCCGAGACTTTATTTCGCATATGCAATTTTTAATAACACCGTATTTTGTACTGCCACATTTCGTTGATACATAGTAAAATATTGGTTTGCCGGATAATATAGAATAATAATAATACATAATATTGTATACAAAATATTTTTATGAACATCAAATTGCATTTAATAGCACATCACCTCTGGAACACATTTAATTATTTTGTAGGTGTTTTCTTTGGACTGCCCAGAAACATTCCAATGCAGTTATGATCCTGCTATGGAAGCAGCCAGAAATGCAAACATGGAGAGAATGGCAGAACAAATTGCTACATTGTGTGCAACTCTGGGAGAATACCCTTCAGTAAGATACCGAAGGTAAGAATACTGAAACGTTTTTAACTGTTCGTAGTGTAAATTAAAACACGCACTGGTTTATTAACGAACTAAACTATTTATTTTATAACTTAATTACACTTAAAACACTATACAACTAACTAAACACTTAACTACTAATTATTTATATATCACTACTGTACAAGAGTCTATTTATTTGCACGTATATTTATTTATTTTATCGCGAGTACCAAAGCTTGACTGACTGTCCATGATGCGTCTTTCCTTATATATTCAGTGCCTACGTTCCCGAATATTCCAGCGAGCTCAACACAGCTCTCGATCGCTGACTCACCGGCGATGACTCATCGGCGATGAGTCATCATTCCGAGATCCAGAGCCGTACTCGCTACAATACAATTTAAAATTTATTTAAAAAGCTTCAGGATTTAGTTTTAAAATTTGTTCAGATTGGGATATTAGAGTTTCATTTTAGGACGGTTCTTAGTTGACAGGACCATTTTGACAAAATTCGACAATTTTTCAAGTAAATTTATTTAGCGTATTTAGTAAATAGGGACGTAAAATGACGGTCATTTATTGTGACATGTCATTTTTGTCATTTATTGTCATTTATGGTCATTTTTATTTCCTTATCTTCAATGCAGATATAGAAGCATCAGATAAATGACTTAAACATTAATAGACACAAACTTAAACCTAAAATTATTTGAAAAAAACAAAATTTAAACAAAATCTAAAATTGAATAAAAGTTCTAGTATAATATAAAAATATCTATCTGGTTTACCAGTTATAACTAAATTTTTGTCAGATTTATTGTCATCGACATCAAAGTCATCTAATGACAGAAAGTGCAGCTTCCACCTCCCGGCTTGGGAGTTTTTTTGTGTTCGCGTCGTTGGATCGCAAGCTGATATTTTTGTGACTGTCATATATTTTTATGACGGTCAGTTATTTTTTTGACAGTCAGAAATTTAAATTGAAAAAAATTAATGACAAGGGTTATTTGTTAGGTACCATAATTACAATTAAAACTTGTAAAATATTTAAAGATTAAATCAAAATAATTTTTTCTAAAATTCTAAAATTAAGTCTTAAAATATTGGTTTTAGATCTCTTTGCAAAAGATTAAATTTCCTACAACAGCAAAAAAACATCAATTTTATAGGAAATCAAACCAATAAGATCATTTAATGTGGGGCTGAGTTTTATTTAATTAAACGAACATAAAATACCATTCAATGAAACAACTTTGTTGACGTTGTTCCAGTTCTTAACATTATTGTTAGTTCAAAATTGAACTGAATTATTATTTACATTCGCGTAGAATACGATTATAGAAGATAACAATGTTAATTATTGACAGAATATACTTTATTGTGAATTATTGTTGAAAAAAATCGAAAAAAAAAATTTAAGGTGGTGTCAAAAGTGGTCATAACGTTTTAGATACCAGACCAATACACCAAAAAATTATAAAACTATGAAGAATAGTCTGCTGGTGCAAATCACATGATTACAACTATGCTAATATAATATGAAGATATTATTTCAGCTGTATCATGGTAGATTTAGTTACTTGTAGTAATTGCCACTCATTTGAAGTCCCATTTACATTTACATTTACATCCCCCAATTGGGGGATGTAAATGTCACAAATGTAGCCTATAAGTGACTGTAGTCACGAGTAAATTATTAACTTAGACTAATGTTTAAAATCATTATATGTTTTGCATAAAAACGTTAAAACATAAAACAATTCTCTAAAAATTTAAAACTTCTCTTCCTTCACAACATGACTGCAATAGTATGTTTAATTTTGACATTTAAAATTATTTTATGTTGACATGTATGTCATCTACAATTTGCTGCATTTGGCGCGTCATTACCGATAGCAACAGATGTAAAAGTAAGTTGTGTATGTAATAGTATATTATTCAACACCCATTTCATTTTTTACTTTATTTCGCCCACGCGCTGAAGTTAGCTTTAAGTTAAAATTGGAAAAAGTGAGGTTAAAACTGCTTGACAGCTATTTTTAAACGTTGTCATGGAGCGATGTACAGCCGTTGAAGAATAAAATCGAACTCCGAACTTTTGACAAGGTAATACAGTAACTGAGAACTCGCTTAAAACACAAATTTTATAACCTATAACAAACTACCCCTACAGTGCAAATAAACTATAGGGCATTGTATCTACAGTGAATTAAAGGCCACATTCCGGTCACTGAAGTGATAAAGTAAGAAGAGAGTAATCACAGCATACCTGGCGGACGAACGACCCAACAATAGGAAGCATTTTATGTGAAGATAAAACGATGCTAGACGATAGTGGAAAGGGCCATCATCTGCAATATCCTATAAGAACTCTTAATTGACCGCATGACCTAATACGTAAATTTTCAATATTAACCACGTTCGCACCCAGCAGTTGCTATATACTTATATACTGCCCTACTATGGAGAAAGGCAGTAACTGCTAAACAAGAAATTTGTGGAAAATTAGCATAAACTACATTTTTATAAAAAGCAGTAGGTATTTAATTGATTTTTTTAAATGAGATTTTTGACTGCATTTCTGTGTTGAATTCGGTTACAAAATATCCATAGCTTTACCATAGCACAAGAAAACGCATTTTGAATTTTTTTGCAGTTACTGCCTTTCTCCATAGTAGGACAGTGTAGGTACTATACAGGGTGTCCGGAAATTAATGCAACAAAATTTGGTCACAGATTCTCGAGACAAACTTAGAGGACTCGTATTTTTTAGTTTTGCCAATTGGCCTTCTTTTTCGGAGATACAGCCCCCCAAAAGTAGCCCATAAGAATAGTCTTTTTCTTATATCTCAGAACCCTGTTGTACGAGAATCACTAAGTTTGGTATACAGGGGTTTTTTGATATGTGGAATCTGATAATGTTAAGGTTTTTTGTCTGGGGACCCCCTTAAGACGCTTTTTAGTAGGCCCCCTTGTCTTTGGAGCCACAAAACTTTGGTTGCGTATTTTTAATTTTTTTTTAATATGAAACCGTAAGGAAGGACATTTAATTTAGAAACTTTTGTATTTTGAATGTTTTTGAGAAAAATGGCAAAATGTGATTGAATGCATATCGACATTCGTATGAAATTCTTACGTGTTAATCGTAGGTGGCTGCCGTTCGCAAGTAACAAATAAATTAATTTTTTGACAGTTATCATTGATCAGTTGGCAGATTATCATCTTTTCTGTTTCTCTCGAAAAAAATGGTGAGATTTTCCGTGGGTGAAAAAGTCCAAATGCACCTGATTTACGGAGAGGCCCATGGAAATTCACGTCTCGCGCGTAGACTATACGCTGGCCGATTTCCCCAACTAATACTTCCATATCATTCGATGTTTTCGCGTGTGCACCGGCAACTTGTGGAGACGGGTTCTGTAAGAAGGCCCAATGCAGGAAAACGTTAATAAAAATAAACATAAAAACCATTTTATTAATTTTCAAATTGTTTTGTAAAGTTTTTAACAGTTATTAAAATTAAATTAAATTAAAAGTAATCAATTCCGTAAAACGTGCTCAAAGTGTGAGCCGTTTTGTTCAGCACAGGACCGCAAACGTTTTTTGACGTATTTTCTCATAAATGTTGGGTATCTGTCTAATTTCTTTAGCCGCGGCAAGGATTCGTTCTTGTAATTGTTCGCGAGTTCTAATTGGCACAGCATAGACGCGATCCTTCATGGCTCCCCAGAAACAAAAGTCCATAGCGTTTAAATCTGGAGAACGGGGTGGCCAAGCTACATTGGGGGAATTGTTACCGATCCAACGTCCTGGAATATTTTCATTTAGCCACTCAGTTACCAACCGCCCCCGGTGTGGTGGGGCACCATCGTGCATAAACCATAAATTTTCTCTAATATCGAGGAAAACATCTTCCATAAGAATTGGTAGTTCATGTTCCAAAAGATGAAGGTAGGTTTCAGCATTTAATCGAGGGGGCAAGAAATGTGGACCGATGATGAAATCTCCGACAATTCCAGCCCAGCAATTAATTGAAAATTTATCTTGCGAACGAGTCTGTCTTATGACTTGTGGATTTGCCATGGCCCAGTAATGAAGGTTATGTAGTATGTAGATTTATTATTCCTTTTTTTGTAAAGCACACCACATCGGTAAAAAAAAAATCGTTTCAGAAATTCCGGATTTCGGTTATAACGTTGAAGCCAAAATTTCTTCTTCGCGGCAAATCTTCTGGTTTAAGTTCCTGAACTTTTTGAAAATGAAAAGGCTTTAGTAATTGTCGTTTAATAAAACTGTGAATTCTTGTTCTGGGAATTTCAAGTTGTAGTGATGCGCGTTGGGGTGTTAACAAACGACGTCTTCCTGCATTTGGCCTTCTTACAATTACAGAACCGGTCTCCATAAGTTGCCGGTGCACACGCGAAAACATCGAATGATATGGAAGTATTAGTTGGGGAAATCGGCCAGCGTATAGTCTACGCGCGAGACGTGAATTTCCATAGGCCTCTCCGTAAATCAGGTGCATTTGGACTTTTTCACGCACGGAAAATCTCAACATTTTTTTCGAGAGAAACAGAAAAGATGATAATCTGACAACTGATCAATGATAACTGTCAAAAAATTAATTTATTTGTCACTTGCGAACGGCAGCCACCTACGATTAACACGTAAGAATTTCATACGAATGTCAATATTCATCCAATCACATTTTGCCATTTTTCTCAAAAACATTATTACTTTTTACAAAAAAAAAAAATCAAAGGACAAAAGTTTCTAAAGTGAATGTCCCTCCTTACGGTATCATATTAAAAAAAATAAAAAATACGCAACCAAAGTTTTGTGGCTCCAAAGACAAGGGGGGCTACTAAAAAGCGTCTTAAGGGGGTCCCCAGCCAAGAACCTTAACACTATCAATTTCCACATATCAAGAAACCCCTGTATACCAAATTTAGTGATTCTCGTACAACAGGGTTCTGAGATATAAGAAAAATACTATTCTTATGGACTACTTTTAGGGGGCTGTATCTCCGAAAAAGGGGGCCCATTGGCAAAACTAAAAAATACGTGTCCCCTAAATTTCTCTCAAGAATCTGTGACCAAATTTTGTTGCATTAATTTCCGGACACCCTGTATACTCATACTCAAGTGTCAAGAAGTTTTTTCCAATTATAACTTAAAGCTAACTTCAGCCATTGGGCGAAATGATATTTCTTCTACTAGTGGTAAGTAAAATTTCGCCAACCTGTTGAGTTTAAAAAATGAAATGGATATTGAATAATGGTATATTGTTCATTGATTATAAAAGTCGGCCATTTTCATAAGGATGAAATACTGCGACACGAGCCGGAAATGGCAATTTCTCAATAGTTTAATTTTATTTAACACACTTTTGATAACAAATCTCATTGTCAATTAATTAAAATAAAAAACAATGAACCACCGCGGTGCACCATTTAATTAATTGTAATGATAATGATAAATACTACCGTGGAGAAACGAATTCTCAATTAAAAACGTATAAGAAATGTACAAATTCTTTATTTGGTTAATAAAAGACACTTCCCGCGCTTATTATGTACAATATTTTTTCTACAAGAAAGGAAATATCGCAATTTTCTTTATCAGTTTTTATTTGTAGAAAATATAATATTTTTCCTGCTTAGCCATTTGTGGGTGTTTTCAGGGCAGACGGAGAAACACCTATTTTCTCGTCCCTGAAGAAGGTTAAATTCAACTTTATCATAGTGTTGTAAGAAAAATAGTTGTTAGTTTGATATTAAAAGAATGGGGTAGTTAAACTTTTTCTGACCTATACTTTTTATGGTTTTATTCAAGGCGTTTTGTAATATTAAACATTTCTGTGAAATCAGGATTTCAATTCAGTTTACCGTTTTCGAGATATTTACAAAAAATATAAATTTTTATGACGTCACAAACCTCGCCATGTGACCAACATTCTAAGATTTCTATTGGTTGAAAATGTTGTCAAGTTGTCTTGTTAATGATTTCATTCGGTTATGTCAGAAAATACCCGAAGAGGTTATGTACAAATACTGTCACCGTCAGTTGAGTGAAAGATGGTCACCAAATTCATTAAGTACCTATCTTCCTTATTACGAGGTATCATATTACTGTTTGATATTTTAGAGTCCAAGATATATCTAAAAGAATATAAAGAACTAGGCATTATACTAATGAAATGCATTTACGACAAAATATGATTATAATTATAGGTACTTACTTTATTTGTTTAAAAGCTCCAATGTTCAATGTAACCAACCATTCCACAAGAGTCCTCTGCTTTGGAGTCCGTTATTAATAAATCACTTATCTAATATCAATTACAAATAACATAACCCGAAAAAAAGAAACGTCAAAAATCAATTCTTCTTCTTCTTCTCAACTAAAATTATAGATCAAGTGGTTTTAAAACTAAAATATTATAACGTGGCGCCATCTATCGTAAGAATCTTAAACTAAACACACTGGCAACCATAGAAAAAGCTGGCAACGTTGTCAATAGCCTAGTGACGTAATTAGGAGATTTTTTTTTGTAAATATCTCGAAAACGGTAAACTCAATTGAAATTCCGATTTCACAGAAATGTTTAAAATTACAAAACGTCTTGAATAAAACCATAAAAAGTATAGATCAGAAAAAATTTAACTACCCCATTGTTTTATGTTTAAACGTTTTTACACATTCTACTAAATTAATAATTTACTATTAAAAGTGACTAGGTTACTTAAATGTAATGCATTAAGTACCTAAATAATTTTAAAAAGTAAATTGACTTAATTAATAACAACGCAATGCGATTTAAAATGCATTACCCAACGCCAGTGATTGGCGACTGAATATCTGTTGACACAGTTCCGAATTATTTTCCCTTTGAAAAACCGAATGCTGCTATAATGCGTCAGCTTTATACACCAAAAATAAAAATAGGTACGGTATAACGTAACTTTGCTTATTAAACGACTAGCCTTGGTTAGACCTAGCTTTAGCCGGTTAAATATGGAAGCGTTCTTCGGAATGAGAAAGATCTCGGGTAATCCGGACTTTAAGCGGTTAAAACCTTCATTCCTAAACATTTACATAAAATCATAAAATTAAAATATTTTAGTGATTGGGAACGCAACGTGGAACTAGCGCAGATGATTCAGCAAAAGTTGGATGCCTATAAAGCGGATGAGCCCACAATGGGAGAGGGGCCTGAAAAAGCGAGATCGCAACTTTTGATTCTTGACCGCGGCTTCGACTGCGTATCACCCATGCTGCACGAACTTACATTCCAGGCAATGGCCTACGATTTGCTGCCAATCGAAAACGACGTGTACAAGTAGGTTTAATGAAATCACTTAAATAATTTATTGGTATTATTTTGAGAAGCATCTGTATTAGTCCTTATTTGGTTGTTTTTAGATATGAAGCTTCAGCGGGAGTATTTAAGGAAGTGTTGCTCGACGAAAACGACGAGTTATGGGTAGAATTACGACATCAGCATATCGCTGTAGTGTCGCAGAGTGTGACGAAAAACTTGAAGAAATTTACCGATTCAAAACGAATGACCCAAAGTGATAAACAATCAATGAAAGATCTGTCACAAATGATTAAGAAAATGCCCCAATATCAAAAGGAGTTATCTAAATATGCTACACACTTGCATCTTGCTGAAGACTGCATGAAATCTTACCAAGGATATGTTGACAAATTATGTAAAGTTGAACAAGTAAGTACATTTTGCCACACAAGATTTATTTGTTTAAAAAACTGTTTTTTAAAAACATTTAACCAATCAAAACATGGTATCCTTTTGCACTAGTGCTCAGGAACATATTGTGCTCTGGTTGGTTAATTGTTTTCCATGGATACAAACTAAAACAACCCGTTGCTACAAAATACTGAAAATTTTAAATCCATTTAAAAAAATTGGTATTAAAAATGGTACATTATTTTTTTATTATTTTTAGGACCTAGCAATGGGTACAGATGCAGAAGGAGAAAAAATTAAAGACCATATGCGTAACATCGTACCGATTTTACTTGATCCAAAAATAACAAACGAATATGACAAAATGAGAATAATTGCTCTATATGCAATGATTAAAAATGGCATAACCGACGAAAATTTATCAAAACTTGCTACTCATGCCCAAATAAAAGACAAACAAACTATTGCTAATTTGCAATTCTTGGGAGTTAATGTTATCAATGATGTAAGTATATTATATAAATAAAAGTTTTAATAGTTCCATTAAACTGTAATAGGCACGAGCGAGCTTGCGAGCGAGTGCTTAAATTAATGAGTGTATAGAAAAGTTTATAAACGAGGTGCATACTATACTTTTTCTACGACAAATACTTATTATTATCTTAAAATGATTTAAATCAAAAATTTGTATAGAGCGCCATCTATGAAACAATGTGTGTCACCGTCAAATGTCAAATTTTTAAATTTTATAAACACAATTATAAAGTTTATAAATCGGAATGTATTTTTTGAAAATTGACAGTTTTTCACAGTGAAAGTAAAGAAAATGTTTTATGAGCACTTTACAGTGGAGTCCGTGCCCGAATTTAAGTTATAGTTTACTGCCGGCGAAATTAAAAGGTCAGTACAATGTTCATATAAAATTTTCAAATATTGGCGTTGAGAAACTATTTAATACTTTTGTATTGAGATAATAATATAATTTTCACATTTAGTATTATTTTACAAGAAAGGCAATTTATTTTAACGATTGTATGACATTTGACAACTATCAACTAACTTAAAACTAACTTCAGCCCGTGACTAAAGCGCCATAAAGCCACAACTTGTCAATGTGTATTTAAAAGGTCACTTAGTGTTATGGAAACATGTACGATAAAGGGCGTTTTAAAGGTGGTAGTAGAAAAAAGTATTTATCTTCAAGCAAAATATTCAACTTTTGACACTGCAGTGATTAATTTCAGCAAACATATTAAAGTCTTATGATGCTAGAAATTAGTTGTTAGGTGTCAGTGATTGGCTGATTTTAGTGTGATTTGGACCAATAGGGTTTCAAATTGGAAGAAACTTTCTCTCCCCTTTTATTCAGTCATAAAATTCGATATCTGTATAATCTCACTTTCAAATTTTAATAATTGTGTACAAAATAAATTTGGTTACAAATTCTAATAAACATTAGAACTTAAAGATAACATGTTGTGTGCCTTTTGGCCCAGAAGGTCTTTTAGTGCTTTGGTTAATTCAAACTTTGAGCTCAGCACAAAAAAATCACTTTTTGACCTATATAAGTTATTATAAAGATCGACAAAATAAAATTGTCTGTTTGCGGCAGGGTGGCCAACAGCTTTTTTAGGGTAATTTGGATGTGGGTGATTCCAAAACTGACCATCATTTTGCTCTTGTTTTTGCGATATTGTAAAAAAACCTGTTTTTTTATTTGCAAAGATTCAAATTCGTTTTATATATATTTTTAATTGAATTCTTTAAACAAGGAACATTCGTGTTGTAGCTATGGGTCCCAATTAAAGATATTCCCTCTATCATCTTTTTAATAAAATAAAATCGTTTTTAGCCAATATTCGGCAATTTTCAAATGTTACGCGATTACGCGATTTTAACAAAAATTTTAAAGTAAAGCTTTCTTTATGTAATTTTTTGTATTAAAATTTAAACCCAGTCAAATAAAAATTGCCAAAATGACACTGAAACCAACCGCGCGTATCAACACTGGTAGTTACGGCCATTTCTACTGGCGCGTGTTCTACACCTTCAAAAAAATCATGCTTGTCATTATTTTAGTAGTGACTCATGCAAGAATGTTTTGTATATTTAGTTAAACATTGCATTTTGTTTTAAAACTATTACAAATACATATTTTAATTCATAACTTTTCACATAACGAGCTAAAATTACCGCAAATCAAAATTTTTTAAGTGCCATTTTGCCAATTTTTTTTTGGTTGTTTTAAAATTTTAACACAATAACTTCATTTAAATTTACAAAAATTATTCGCTCAACAGCACTTTTAATTTAAAAAACTGACGAATTTCGGCTAAAAACGAATTTATTTCATTAAAAACATTATTTTTGAAGGGAAAAACTTTATAGATGTGTATAATTAATCTTTTAGTTTCATTGGGATGCAATGATCCTTGGTTAAAGTATTTAATAAAAAAAATATATGGGTTTAAAAAAAATTAAATTTCAGCACTTTTTGCGGATTTTACTGTTTAAACAATGGAGTTTCTTTATTTTAAAATATATCCGAAATTAAACAGTGATTAATTTTCACTTTCATAATTCCCACATACCTTTTTAAAGCTACCTTTCAAAAAATAAATTCAAAATTTATATTAAAAGGATAAAAGATAAATTTTTATTATGAAAAACCGCTATTTTTTTTAAATCTGAAAAAATTCATACTTATGATCCAAACATTTGCGCACTTTTTGGGGTATTAATTTTTTTGCGCACTAGAAAACTGAAGAAGTTATGAATTTTATTCTTTAAGGAAACGCAAGCCACTGTTCGACGTCAATTTTCGACTTACCTGATGGGACATTCAAAAACGGACTAAAATTATTTTGTGAAAAATTAATTCATCAAAATAGGAAAATCAAAGTTTTATTCTTGGAGCAGACCACTATTTTGTGGGCCTGTATTACGGCCTGTGTTAAGATTAATTTTCATGTATCCGTTTGTCCGATCATCCAGGTGCGGTCGATAATTCGAAAATTATGACATTTCATCGGTCCGTTTCAACTTCATACGTCTGACGGAGAAAGTTAAAATTATTTTAACTTATCCGTCACTACTCATCCGTTTTTGACGACTAACGTTATTTCAAGATAATTTATTTTCAAATCCGTAAAACGGAGTAATTACCTTCTTTATGTGAATAATGTTCTATTGTTATTATGTCTTTATTTAATAAGAAGAACGGAAAAAAAACAAAAGACAAACAAAAAATATATCACCAGAAATAAAAGGATGTGTTTTTTTAAAACTATACATTTTAATGTACTCTTTTTATTTGGTATATTTACCTTGCTTTAAATTTATTAGACAAATAACTGTTAAAGTTACAAATTTTGACATAATTGTAACTATGAAAATTAAACATTAGGTAAATTTAGTAAAATGAATATACTGGCCCTTAATTTCTATTTGTCGCCAAATCAATCCGTTAAAGGTCATTACTAACCCCCCGCCCACCCAACCAATCCCTTGTCTATGGGTCATTAAATATCGGATGCATGACAATTAAAACATTTCTTGTCGGACGATTTTATTGAAAAACGGATAACGGACACACGGATACATGAAAATTTAGCTTTACGCGCTAAGTCACATTCACTTTCCAAATGGGAATTGCCTCCAAAAAATTGAATAATTCTCGATAACCTTCAATAACTAATTACTGAAATTGCAGTGATTGCTTGTCAGTAACTAGCTAGTAACTAGTTAATAACTTGTCAGTACCTGGTTAGTAATTTGTAAGTAACTGAGTAGTAGCTAGCCAGTAACTAGTCATTTTTAGTCGTGTTTTATTCACGTCCTGATAGGTGGATCGAAAATTGACGTCGATCAGTTGCGCGATTTAACGCGCTTCTGTGATGAAGAAAATTTATAACTTCTGCAGTTTTCGAGTTCGCAAATAAAATGAATACTAAAAAATTGCGCAAATGTTGCTACTAAAGGTATGATTTTGTTCAGATTTAAAAAAAATGCGATTTTTCAAAATATAAATTTATTTTTCTACTCCTATTACGGAATTTGACCGTTCTATTATCACTTTTATCTATGGAATGACATATATTCCGTAAAGTGTTACAGAATTAAATATTCTATCATCCTATGACAGAATAAACACTCGTGGCGACATCTCTGTTTTTAATATCTAACAAATTTTAGACCGATCCAACCTCACTTTTTTCCAATCAAATGACTTTTCTATAGTATTTTTTGGAAACGTAGAAAAAGTATAGTCTGAAACATAGATAACAAAGCCTTATGGTCTGAAACACGTTTGGAATTGCATATTCCGCTCTCGTGAAACCGTCAAACTCGCCTTCGGCTCGTGTGACAAACTCTTCACTCGAGCGGAATATGCTGTATTCCAAACTTGTTACAGAATATACTATTTTGAATTTTTATATATTTTTTTCAAAATTTTGGGATCCACTATAGACCCTCAAAATTTGAAGCAAATCGGAGACATGCCCCTTTTTTTGCGACCAATTTGGCATGGAATATATACAAATTTAAATGTTTGCAAATCGAAAAAACAGTTTTTGCACAATATTGCAAAAACAAGAGCCAATACCTAAAACAGACAATTTTATTTTGACGGCCTATGTCATTAATCTTATAATTTTAAGGGTGGGAACCGGAAAAAACCGTATTCGGTGCCAAGAAAAGAGCGTATTACTGAACAAACGTATCAAATGTCTAGATGGACGCCTGTAATTAAGGATATTATGGAAGACGCTATTGAAGATAAATTAGATCAAAAACACTTTCCATTTTTAGCTGGCCGAGCGCAAACCAGTGCTTACCACGCCCCAACAAGGTAAACATTGATTTACATATATTTAACAAAAATTTGATCTAATTCCAGTTACTACATAACAATTTTAACATGCTTGTAAATGTTTAGTGCTCGATATGGTCATTGGCATAAAGACAAGGCCCAGCAGACAGTGAAAAATGTGCCCAGAATAATTGTCTTCATTGTTGGAGGCATGAGTTTTTCAGAAATCAGATGTGCGTATGAGGTAACAAACGCCCAAAAAAATTGGGAGGTCATTATTGGATCCTCCAACATTTTGACTCCCCAAAGTTTTCTTAAGGATTTAAACACTCTTACAGTCTAGGATTCAGGAAAAAAAGTTACTTTTAATATACCTGATAATTAAAAATGCTTTCGTCATGTGAATTTGATTGCTTAAGATAAATGGTTAGTTTTACTGGAATTTTTAATTGTAGTTGACATTTTGAGATATTTGTACCTACTAACGTTAAAAATGTGCAGACCTAAGCAAGATATTACAATATAATCTTGGATGCTAGTCTATCTTCCCTTTCTAAAAATAACTTTTATTTTTAATAATTATAATTCTGGATTGAAAAATAAAATGTATGTAAAGTACTTAAGGGAACTGATTATTTTTTTTATTTTTTAAGTTGAGCAGTCTCACACAAACAATACATTACTCGTGCGCCAGCGCACTTCATAGACTTCTAAAAAAAACATTGGGTATAAAAAACTGTTCTCAATTTACTAACGGAACATTTAAATTTATTTTAAGCCCCTAAGCTTTAATTATTAAAAATTGTATAAATGTTGTTAGAAATAAAGTAAGTTTTCAAAGGCGTTATATAAATGTTTAGCGTGTTATGGCGTTTAACACCATAATTCAAAAATATCAAATATTTAAAGTTATTTATCACGTTTTTATTGTTATTTCTTGTTATAAGTAGTTTTTTAGATACTTAAACTTGTATTGTATTCAGTATTTCTTTTCAATAGTTATACATGTATTATATTCTACAATAAATTTAGCAAAATTAAAATTGTCAATTTTATTAAGATATAGTATAGTATTTTGTCTTTTTAAGACAAAATGTAACATAATTAAATTTTATCCGAATTCATAAAAATATTGTTGTTCCTTTCATGACAAAGTGGCCAAGTCCAGTTTTATTTAAAAATGTAATACAAAATATAGCTGCTTTTAACACAGAATACTGTACATAAAATCTACCTAAAAAATACAGTGTGCTTTATTGACAACAAATGTAATTTTTTGTATATATGCAGACACCACCACACTGGACTTGGTAATCCAATTCTCATAAAAGGAATCTTATATGTTAAAGTAAGGTTGTGGTTCATCTCATCTTGAGAGAATAATAATTTTTACCTTGTTACACCACTCCAAAAAAATGCCTGATTATACAAAATTGGCAACAAAAACTATGGATACAAGTTATTTCAGTAACTTATAACTATTGTAATGCTATAATGGTACCTACAAAAAAGAAAAGCCCACTTACCACACTACTATAGTAGGCTTTATAAAGCCTTTGTTTTTATATTAGGTTTGTACAGGGTGAATCACAACTTTCATCCCGGACAACAATCGGGATTTCCTGGTGAAGTCATGATGATATCACAACGTGATTTTTTTTATCACGCTGTGAAATCCTGAGTGCATACACATGCTTCATCCCAGTGATATCATGTAGAACTCACGGTGTGATATTTGCAAAATGTTCGCATGCCTATGAGACCTGCGAACTGCGAATTTAAAACCTAGTTTGTTATTCATATTACACCGTTATAATTTATAAAACGTTGTTTGCATATCACGAATGTTGTCCGGGTTCAATTAAAAAAGATATTTCAATGTTTAACAAAACGTGACCGTTTTGTTAAATATTGGAATATCTTTTTTAATTGAATGACAACATTCGTGATATTCATACGAACATCATGTCGTGAATTTCACAAATTTTATTCATACTGATATCATACGGAAGTAACCGCGTGATAAATGAAAATCATACGAACGTCACGTCGTGATTTTCACAAATTTTATTCATACGGACATCATCCGGATGTCACTGCGTGAGAAATGAAAATCATGTCGTGATTTTTATGCCATCGCTGTTTGCTATTGACCGATGGCCTAAAAAATCATGTCGTGATTTTTTATTCCAACGGTGCTTGGATAATCATTTTTGCGCCACGTTCGTACATTCTGAGAAAATGTATGTTAACAATTGAATTAGCAGTTTTTTGCGGTTAAATACATTTAATATTTTCTTGGTTGTAAATTAACTATTAATTTAAATCCAAAAAAATATTAAATGTATTCAACCATAAAAACTGTTGATTCAATATATATGTAGGTATACTTTTTCTCTCAATGGCGCAAAAATAAATATCCAAACACCGATGGGATAAAAAATCACGACATGATTTTTTATGCCATCGGTGTTTGGTCATAAAAATCACGACATGATTTTTTATGCCATAGGTGTTTGGATATTCATTTTTGCGACACATTCGTACATTGAAAAAGTATGTTAACAATTGAATCAACAGTTTAACATTCAATATTTTCTTGGATTTAAATTAACTATATATAGTTAATTTAAATCCAAAAAAATATTAAATGTATGTAAAAACTGTTGATTCAACATAATTTTTTTCTTAGTGTACGAACGTGGCGCAAAAATGATTATCCAAACACCGTTGGATAAAAAATCATACCATGATTTTTTGTACCATCGGTCCATCGCAAACAGCGATGGCATAAAAAATCACGACATGATTTTCATTTCTCACGCAGTGACATCCGGATGATGTCCGTATGAATAAAATTTGTGAAAATCACGACGTGACGTTCTTATGATTTTCATTTATCACGCGGCGACTTCCGTATGATATCAGTATGAATAAAATTTGTGAAAATCACGACATGATGTTCGTATGAATATCACGAATGTTGTCCGGGATCCTATAATTTTAATTAAATTAAGACTTAAAACATTATTCTAAAATTTTAAAATACTAAATATAAAAACCTAATAACCCTTTAGAACAATACAGTATTATTTATAAAATCTTGTCATGACAGTTATGAATTTCCCTGTAATTTTAATTTATTTAATCAGTGCATCCATAAAAAGCTTCACAAATAATTAGCTAGTAATGTTATGAATTAAATAATTTATAAACTAAAAAATATAGTATGCTGTTTTATTTATTAAAAATGAACAAAACTAGAGATAGTTTTGCAATAATTACCTTTATGGAATTTATGGTCCCAAAAATTAAAATAAACCATTTAATAGGTATTCTGTTTTTTTTTTAATTTTCTCCCACCCATTTGCAAAACAGGGTATCATACAATAATAATATGTATTTATTGCCCAACAGTGTTTGCTATACAAGGACTTTCAAATAACAGTAATAACCCAGAGTGAAAGAAGGTTCGAAAATATTCTAGGAATATTCTATAGAATGATCCTCTACAACTGCTTAAGCAACATCTTGGAACATTCCCAGTGAATGTTTTTTATACCTATTCAAAAAACAATAAATAATTTTCTATTTCTACAAATTGGTTGTATTCCAGGAATATGCGCTATCATCTAGGAATAATCCCCTTTATTCTAGGAATATTCCATAGAGTGATCCTCTAAAACTTCCAAACGCCATCTAAGAACATTCCCAGTGAATATTCATTAGTTGCATGATTAAAACATTAAATAGAAATTTCAGACATTGCCTATTTATTGTTTAAAATGACTACAAAAAGATCTTTCAATAATTCTCGATTTTCCATAAAAAATACCGCGAATTTCCCAAATAATTATTAATCATTGGTCGATTTGGAAAGATCTTTCCAAAATAAATAAGTAAACTTTTGTCTGCTATAGGAAGGTAGGTATATTCAAATCGATTAAGCAACTGCAGCTGGCATTAGTCGGAAGCTATATATATAAGCTTATAAAATGCCAACTAGTGAATGCATGAGAATCCGAATTCACTTTCGTATCTTTAACATTTTTGAACTACCTACATAATTTTCGAAAGAAGGCAATAATTGTGTTCAAAATCAATAAAATTTTGTTCCTATTTGGAAATATTGGAATTTATTTTTGAAAAATGCCGACTCTGTTAAAGTTGGGGGTGTGTTACCCCCACACTCTCCCAGGCCACGCCATACTTGATGTATGTGATCCAAGGATGACATTTTTATAAAGCAATTGTTTTCCGAAACACCTTGTATATAAAAATATTAGGGTTGACATTTCTAAAATAGGATTGCAATGTTGTCAAATTTCGTTTTAATTATATGAAAAGTCCCTGTGGGCCTTTCGAAACACAGTATTTTTGATCGTAAGAAATTTCGGTTTCTTTAAATACCATCAAGTGTTCTATAATGCAAAAATCCCTTTTTTAAGTAAACACACTGACAGAAAATGCACACTTGATCGAAGATATAGGTTGGGTTATTTTCCCGTGCACGGTCTACTATACCGCCGGCGGTATATTAATAAATTGTTATTAAACCGCCGGAGGTATATAATTAGATTGTTATTAAACCACCGCGAAGATAATGTGATATTTACATAACAAAAAAAATGTGCCGGGTCTACAATAGGGTGGAGCGAAATATGAATATTTTTAAAATTAAAAACGCCTATACCTCCAGAACTCGCGCCACAGAGAAAAAGGGAACGTGTCGAAAGTAACACGAAATACATATTTGAAAACTAAAATTGTCTAACGCAAAGGATAAGCGAGATAAGAATAAAAAACGATACCCAATCCCAATAGATGGCCATAGGGAATTCTTTAAATTGCTAGGATACTTGGGTTACATTGTTGATAATAAATAATATGTAATATATTTGGTTCACTGGAATTTAATTCATTGTAAAACTGCTGTCAATCTTTACTCCTGTCATTAATATTATATTAGGTTATAAATTAAGTTATTATTGACAATGCTGTCAATCTTTACTTTTGTCATTAATATTATATTAGGTAATAAATTAAGTTATTATAAATAATGTTTTCCTTGATGATTATACCGAAATGATAACTATTTATGGGGAGCCCCAGATAGCACAAAGGTATACTATGGACGTCCAATGGACGTATGCTCGTGGACATCTGTATGTACATAGGATGTCCATTTTTTTCTATGGACGTCCCATGGACATCCGTTTAGAGTCCAGATGTCACAACTTTGGACATCCATAAGTCGTCCACCGATGGACGTCTATAAGGTGTTTAAACCATTCCTCCAGCATCCAGGACCTGCTTTTTTGCTTACTTTAACTGTTTTTTGCGACTGTAAATTTTCTACAACATGACTGAAATGCCTTTTGTCTGGCTCAGTAACAATCCCACTAGGAATATAAATATTCTAATAGTTGTTAAAAGTTACAACATTCAATGTTAAACATTTCAGGAAATCCTTTTATTCGACTCAGGAATATTACATTTGCAATACTACAAGTGTTTAACATTTCATTGATAGCTTAAGTCCTTTATAGCCCGCGCTTGCTTGAATGTCAGTGAGATTGATCATAACTGTTGTTATGCAGCCAACAATACGTTTTAACTACATTTCCGTAATAATAATTATGGACGTAAAATGGACACTATATGGACGTCCATTAAAATCGTACAAAGGATGTAAATATATGGACGTACATAGTACATCCATTTTTAGTCCGTGGACCAATGTACTTAAAATGGATCTTAAACGGACGTCCATTGGACGAATGGTGCTATCTGGGGCGTGGGCCCAAAAAAAGGTAAATAAAGTACAACTGGTTTGATTTTTTACTTTAAAACATTGGCGTTCTGAAGTATCAGTCATACATTAATAACCTCATTTTTTGAAAGCTTTTGACAACTTAGTAAATACAGTTGGCCAAAAGATTTTTAAATGTTTTTAAGACAACAATGTTCTATCGTCTCCTAGCAATTTTTAAAGCTCCTACGTTTAACCTAGGCGAGATCTCTCGGTATTGGCTGCCGCTTTTTTGCTCTCATTCGATTACACTATTACCTAGAAATTTTTTATTTTTAAATTTGGCATCTCCATTGCTATCGGCACGCCCCCTTTTTTTCACTAAAAATAAATATTTTTAGTGAAAAAAAAATAAATATTTTTTTAATTCCTTCCACTGCCCAGAGCTATCCTAAATATAAAAATCATAAAATTCAGACGAGGGCAGAAAAGGGTTAAACAAATTTTTTTTAAGCCAAGATATTTTATCATACACAATTTTTCTATATATAGGCGTTTTCAATTTTAAAAATATTCATATTTCGCTCCACCCTAGTCTACAATTGTCGCAGGTAGCAGATCGCAGAACATAAGCTTGCGCAAAGCACCCAGCCTGCTGACAGAAGAACCTTGCTCCATCGCCACGTCGCGGGGTGCTTTGCGCCACCCAGACCGCAAAATCACATTCCCTGCACATGTCAGGAATATTCCCAGGAATATTCCAATCGTCCCAGAATATTCCCAGGAATATTCCTGGCATAATCAAATGTCCGCTTTTTGGTTAACCCAGGCATCATAAAAAGAATATTCCATATATCTGCCTGCAGAAGACTCAAGGATTGTTAGGGGAATATTCCTTGATATAATTTGGGGATTATTCCCAGCCCTTATTGCCTCTTATACCCAGGAACTTAACTTAAGTATAGCCATTATTGAGTTACTGAGTAGATCAGTCCCACTCTAATCATTGTTTGGCTGTGCCATCACAGACGCACATCTCCAACTAATATTATTAACCTATCGGTATATATAGTTATCAAGCGTGCGTAAGCAACGGTGAGAGGTATTGCAACTAAACTAATGAATATTCACTGGGAATATTCTTAGATGATGCTTCGAAGTTTGAAAGGATCTTTCTAGGAATATTCCCAATGAATATTCCTAGAATGAAGCGGATTATTCCTAGGCGATAGGAATATTAATATTCCTGGAATATTTTCGAACCTTCATTGCAGTCTGGGCATATACCTATAACCTATAGTTATAGGTATATGCTTTGCGCAAGCTTATGTTCTGCGATCGAACCCTTGCGACAATTGTAGACCTGGTTTTAAACATATGGATTTATTGATAATGAAACAACATCTCTTTGTGCCACAATATTTTATTTCAAAATGTAAATTGATAAAAAATATTAAAAGAAGTATCGATCCCGGTACCTCTCGCATGCTAACCAAATCAAATCAAATTTAATTCAATATAAAATATACAAAATAAAAAGAAGACCAAGTAAAAGGGCCGCAATGTGGTGATGTGGTTAGCTGTCGAGTGGACATGGAATCCTTCCTCTAAAACCTCCATGCGGATAATCTGAATGGTACAAGACTTGTACTACAAGTAGTGACATTGTTTGACGATCTCCTGTCCCCTAGGGGAATAATTATTATTAAATTTTGTTTAGGTTTTACACTAAATATAAAAACGCTTGGGCATTAAGCTTGATTTATAGATTACCTTCCTTCCTTCCTCCCGTAAAAGATTAACAATACGTACGGGAATCTATAAACAGCACAACGGTTTTCGTATTGTTCACCTTTTACGTGGAAGGAAGGGAGGCGATCTATAAATCAGGCCTAAAAACTACAACCCAACTCGCCTGAGCTACTACTTAAAACCTTATATGATGTTTTGTATAGTATAAAAATCCTCATTTATTAATTTCAATGTAATTAATATGGCAAAATGCTTATTCCTTATCATCGTCGCGGCGGTTTAATAACAACTTATTAAAATGCCGCCGGCGGTTTAATAGACACTTTCTTTTAAAAATACGTAAAAATGGTTTCGTGATTTTGTGGGTAGCAATCAAAATAAAAATGGAATTCGAATTTAGGTAATACACTGCTAAAAACTAAACAAACTATAAAATAAGCGATCCATAGATTAAAATAAGTAAAATGTCATAATCTATAATTTATGTAGCTATTTTAATTACAAACATATAGGTAACAAATACAAACTTAGCCTACAATAATAGTAAAAATATAAGTAATCACAATTGTTCTGTGTAATCTTACATACAACTCTAATATGGATTCAGCTATAAATACCAATATAGAGGATAATTTTATAAATAAATTACTAGGTGAAATGAAAAATCAATTTATGGGTGATCCTGTAGAAATGATGTTGACTGAAAAAGACAAACCAGTAGAAACTACCCAACCAACTCCTCAGTTTGAAAATTCTAAAACAAAAAATAAAATACCATCAAAATTAGACACACCTAAGAAACAAAAAGTTTCCAAAATAAATTTAAGAAAAGCACCATGTAAAAAATCCAATATTGAAAATAAAAGATCATCTTTAAGAAGAAAAAAAGGTTTAAACAAATCTGTTTTGCAAAATGCTATTGCCAGAAAAGAAAAATCTTTTAACGTTTTTACAAAATCCCTAAGGTCGACAAGACAGTTGAAACCAACACCAAAAATTTTGGAAAATTTAAGTGTGGCTAAATTGGAAAGAAAACTAGGCATTGAAACAAAAAAGAATAAAATGAGGAAAAAAAATGTTGAATCTAAAATTTCAAAGAAAAAAAAGACTGAAGAAAATGAAAGTAATGAATTGTGTTCATCACCAAAGGAAATTTCTAGGTAATAGTTAATAAGGTCTCATTCGATGACAAAACTTTGAAAATTATGGTATTATTTTTAAAAACGGTTCCGAACCTCCTTAAACCATTTACTCCATGAGGTTTAAAAATACTGATTTTTGTTCCTTTTTATGACCTATGTGTCGTCTTTAAATTACGTTTCACTAAATAGGTGTGACGTACTTTGTGGATGGCCCCTTAACTTTAATATTTTTGATAGAGAGTTTTATTTTAAGATGTTAACACATATAAAAATAAAGATAAAACTGATAATCTTCTTAAGAAAGTTAGGAAAATTGAGAATCTTGTTGAGAATATTGAGAAAAATCAGAATATTTCCGAGAATATTAAAAATAAACAAGAAAAATAAAAAACATTGACAAAAAACGTTCAATGGCCTAATTCTGCCATGCTGTTTAATTAAATTTAAAAAAAAAAATAAAAAATCAATGATTTTTATGAAAAAAATTATAAAATCAACAAAAAATGATTTTTTTAATACAATATTCAAAATTATAAGCTTTTTTTAATAAAGTGTGCTATTAAAATAATACTAAAAATAACTTGACTAATAATATTACATGGCACTACTTTATAAACAAATAAACCACCGCACGTAAGGCAAAATGAGGTATTTACGGCGACAAAAGTAAAAAAAACAGAATACAATAATATTCGTTTATTTACATAGCAAAATGTTCCCAAATATTTAAAACCTTAGAAACAACAAAAAAATTGTAAAATGGATAAAGACAGGGTTGAAAAATGTCATATTGTTCGCGTGTTGTCAGGTACCTAGTCGTGCGCGCAACCTGTATTTTGCCAAATTTAGTGCTAATACATTGTGTAAATTTGCAGTCACCGCGAAGTAAATCTAAAACTTTTAAAATGGAGGTGTTACCATGTTGTAAGTACTTTAAATCAACGTATATATTAATGATGTAAATCTAATTTCTCTATGTGAATTATTCAATTATCTAAACAGAGTAAAATTTGCATTGTTTAGTTTATTATTAAACTTGATAAAAGGTTATAAAAAAAGTTTCGCAAAGTTTCGCTTTGAGCGCCAGCTTAATCAATGGCATTGAATATTGGTTTTACGAGGAAATTATTTTTTTTTCCACATATTTCCACATTTAAGTGTTTTCGTCTTTATTTTTAAGTTGTGGAGCTAAAAAGTGTATCACAAGAGATCTCTTTGAAGAACTATATTTAGTCCTAAAAAAGAACGTTTTTACGAGTATTTTCTAATAAAGTGTTATAAACGATTATATGAATACATTTTGAGCAGTTTACAGACTTACACTTTGTATTTAATGTTTAAACCCAAAAATAATTCGTAATAATAATACCTTTATTTTTTCAGGAGTCCAATCATAAAATGTATATCATTATTTTATTAATGTATTAAAAATATATTTTTTTTAAATAAGATACATTTACAGAAATACTTACTCATGCCATTAAATGGCCTTCGTACCTTGTTGCCTAGTTGCTATATATATATACAGTGTGACCCATTTGTTTGCAACTCACCCCTGTAAAATCTTTATTTATTGTGCGATTTTAACCGTATTTGTTTTAAAGTGTAGATCTTGATAAACTGTATTTTAAATGCCATATTTTTACAAAATAAAAGGCCTACTATGTCAGTTTTTAAGAGTAAATTTTTTAAACAAAATCTAAGCATAGCACTGGATTCATCACCCCTCAAAAAACCCTATACTAAATGTTATTGAAAAATTTTAAGTAGAAAAATGCACAATAATAACTACAAAACTTTATTTTGTCAAGTTATCCATGAAAAAACATTGAAATAAAATTAAACTAATAGTAACATGGTGCCGTGCTTAGATTTTGTTTAAAAAAAATCGCTAATATAAATTCTTAAAAATCTACTTTTAAAAACTGTAATAGTAGGCTTTGTATTTTGTACTAATATGGCATCTTTTGCTCCAAAAATACAGTTAATCAAGATATAAATTTTAAAACAAATCCAGTTAAAATCGCACAATAAATAAAGATTTTACAGGGGTGAGTCGCAAACAAATGGGTCACACTGTATATATATGTAGCAACTTATTTTTATTAATTTCGATATTAGAATTATTCAAAATATTGTGTACTTTACTTAACTAGATATATCTATTTAAGTTGGTTTGGGGTGTTTTCCAGTGTTTTCCTTAGCTACTTTTATTGTTTTTATATAAAAACAATAAAAGTAGCTAAGGAAAACACTGTTTGGACATTTGCCTATCATAAATATTTTTGACGCCGTAAATACATCATTTTGCCTTACGTGCACCGTCCGCAACTGTCATATATTTTTTGTATATTCCTTTATTATTTTATTTAACAAAATAAGCAGTTTTTCTATGCATATGAATTTATTTAAATAGTTTCAATATATTATTGTGCTTTAGTTTTAGATCTTTTAAGTGTTTTTTTAGATTTTAGAAACTTTTTTTAAATCATTGATTAAAAGTTAAAAAAAATGATTTAAATTAGGCTAACCCTGCTGTTAATAAATTGTCTGTAATTTATTGTTTATGCTCGTTTTTTCTCGTTTGTGCTCAATTTGCGTTCTTTAAAAATAAAGCATTTTCCATCTCTAATTGTAACTATGACAGTTTTCTGCCCAGGAAATTTAATCAGATGCTATACAGGTTGTCGCGAAAATAACAAACTTAATATTTTCATAAACCCCACTTGGTTACCCCAGAATAATTAATGATTGAAATAAAGCTTAAGGTGATTTGTGCCCTACTACAACTCTGAGCTTCTTATCTGTGTCTGTGAATCATATTTGGTCAACCTTAAAGAAGTAGTAGTTAGATCCTTTGCACCGGCCCCCCTAAGACGCAAAATACTCTGCCTAAACAAATTATTTTAGCGTTATTCTTATTCGACTGTGGAAGACTTTTCGGTATTTTGGGCCCCTTAGTCAGCCACTGATTTTGAGTATCAGTTTGGTTAAGTGGAATTTAACAAGTGTCCATAATATGGACTATAGATAACGTAAATTTTTTTTTATAAAAAATATTCACTGTTTGTGGTATTACACAGGGTGTCTCAGATTTTAATCGAGAAAATTGTCTCGCGAAAATAAGAAAAAAAGTTTATGCTGCTTTAAAGCTTTGTTTTTGGGATACAGGGTGTTGAGTTTATTAAAAAAGTGTGGTCACGCCACTGCTTTTTTATACGTTGAAGCAATTAAAAATACAACTTTTTTTCTCTTGAATTTGTTTTCTATCTTGCCTAATTTTTAAGAAATAAAATTAAATTCGTTTATCCGCTCGTGACTTTAATTTTTGCAGGGACAAGCAAATAAACGAATTTTATTTTTTTTTTCTTAAAAATTAAACAAGTTCAGGAGTGAAACAAGTTATATTTTTAAATGCTTCAAATTTAATTTTTAAATATCTAGTTGGGATGACCCAGCGCCGCCTCTGGATTAACTAAATAAAACATTTAATTAAGCCCTTTGCTCATGACTAAAAAACCTAAAAAGTTTTATTCAATTCGGCAAAAAGTTAATGACAAATTTAATAACTTTAACACCCTGTATCTCGAAAACGAAGTTTATATAAACTTTTCTTCTTATTTTTGCATGTTCTATCGACAACTAAATTTTCCCGAATAAAATCTGAGACACCCTGTATAAGTTATTATTTTGCCCTTATATTTTTACTATGGAAAATAATTGCAAGTATTAATGTATTCAAGAATATATTTAAAGATATAATTTACTGAGATGGACATTCTTATTGGTCATAATAAAAAAATATGTGGAAATATTTGTCTATATTATATTCATACTCATGAGTAAAAATAATCAAAATAATATCTAAAAATCTAATTTTAATATATAACATCATTTTTACATTTTATGTATATATTTTGTAGTCATATGAAGGAAGATAAAGCCAAAAACGAATTTATATCAGTAGCAGAAGAACTGATAGCATCACGTCGATGTTTATGTACAGAACCAACCTCAAATTTCATTTTAGAAAACAATAATGGTATATTTTTCTGTACAAACAGGTTGTCCTGAAAATGGTGCACTGGCTAAATACCAAAATCTTCAAATTCAAGTATACCAACATAAAAACAAATAAACCTAATGCTGTTTAAAAAATAAAATGGCAAATTTTATTCATAACAGTTACAGCCTTAGTTTAATTTTTTTAAATAATTTGTGGTTTCAAAAAATATCAAATTGGGCAAAAAAGTATTTAAATAAACACTGTGCAACAGTACAAAAATTGATAATATGTACCTATATTTGGCTGCTTTATTTGTCAAGAAGTCATATTTATTTTAATGTATTATTAAGAAAAAATGAATACATGTATACAATAATAGATTTTAAATTCTAAGAACTACTGTAAGAACTCTAATCGACTAGTGGAAGAGTTCAACTTACCTTTACTGATTAATTAAGCAGTGGTATGCAACCCAAATTACTTCGTATTTTAATAAATAATTATTTATAAATCTTTATAAATTAAAATTATGTTTTAAAATGTGAAAATTAAAGTTTGAAGTTGAAGTTGAGTAAAGATCATATAATTTATTGGTAAATTTTTGACGAATGTAAAATTGTTGCACAGTGTAATCCACGGTCAGAGGTCAGTTTACCTACCATTAAAAATTATTATAATTATTATTTTGGAGAGTAATAATAAGTTATTAGCTTATAAAACACAGCAATAGCTATCCCAGATAGCACAAAGAAGTACTGGAAAATTCCTGAGTGTATCTCGTATCAGACATTAGTAAGTCCCGAGTACGTCCGAATCAGGTCCTGAACCTTCCCCAGGACGTACCAGGGACATTCGATGTTACCAAATCGTCGGTCCCCAGAACGTCCTACTTATAAGTAAGACATCCTCTGGCCGTCCTGAAATACTTTATTGGGGATTATTAGACAAGCTCTACAGAATTGAAGAGTGGTATTCCCAGGGTCTAAGTGACAAAAATAAAATTGTAAGTTATCAATGAAAAACAAATATTTTGAACATAAAAAATCATTCTGCATGACATGACAAACTATTTTTAAATGATAATATATTATTTAGCCAACTTGACACTTAGACCCATGCTTTAATTGCTAAAAAAAATTTACGTCCTTGGGAGGTACCGAGTATATCCGCTTTAATTTTCTCAAATAAGTAAGAGACTGGACGTACCCAAAACTTCCGATATAGGCCTGGGACGTTCGGACCTATGTGGGACCGGAAATGGACGTCCTGGGTACCTCTTAAGAGGTAAGAGGTAAGAGCACAATTGTGCTATCTGGGATAATGACAAGAACATTTTTTTACCATATATTGCTAGTTGAATACGGTAGGACGAACACGCTACTGTACATACATACTGTGGTATACAGTGCTGAGTGCATCAAAACTCCTTGAAAGAGAGCGGCAAAGGCACACTGCAGCAACATTTGGGTTTTGCATTTGTTAGCGAAATGATGTTTTCTTACTACCTCGGCCGAAAATACGTTGTTTCGTCCCCGATTCCACGGCAGAAAGTTTACGTTTGATGCATTGGTCAAGCTATACGTATTTTCGGCCGAGGTAGTAAGAAAATGTAATTTTTTATCCTTCTACAAAATAAAAAATATACAAATATATCGATATATGGTCAAGCTATACGCGCGCCCTCTATAATATCGCTCGTGCCGCAAATGTCGGGGCAGGCATCAATATGTTTCGATATACACATTTAATTTTTTCCCGTATTTTCGGCCGGGTAGCAAGAAAAATAGTATACACTACACGGGCAGAAAGTGTGAGAGCCCTGAACTGCGCGCCATGATGCCCTCGGCTCATCATGGCGCGCAGTGCAGGAATCTCACACTTTCTGCCCTTGTAGTGTAATATACCATTAAACAGCATTGTATACCTTTAGCGTGAAAATTCGGTATATGCGTCTGTCTCTTTCTCAACTACTTCAAGTTGTATGCGCATGTCTGAGAATTGACACAACGAATAGCAGAACGTCGCTTAGAATTACGAGCGTCGATCCATTCTGCAATTCTCAGACATGCGCTTAAGATTTGAAGTACCATATAAAATCACAGAAGCTCCGTGACACATTCTCTTACGGGCGCTAGCAATATACGAGTATAGATACATCTTTTTAACTATAGACAAACTGCCCTCTAGTGGTAAATTTTTAACATTTTAAATTGTTTTATTGGAAATTAAAACTAAGTTTCATAAAAAAAATACGTTTTATTGAAACACCCTGTATATTTTATATTTATAGAACATTTGAGCTTACTACTAGTAAGCTAGTACTAGTACCAGGAAAAAAATGACCTCTTTTATCAAGTGTTATCCAGTTTCGCCATTTTCAGAACATCCCGTACCTATATCAAAATTTACTAACAAAAATACTTTTAGAAAAGGTATTTTGTAGTGCTATCGATAGCATAGACGATAAACTTATTGGGTGCAATCGTTTGGCATTGATAAATAGGCCTATGATGAGGCCGTCCAAGCGGGTACCATACGTCTTATTATGCGAGATGCACGAAAATAGAATGCTTAGGCACAACTGTTGTCCAACATGTGGAATCTTCTGTACTCAGGTTAGTACCCCTCAGTGTTGCCAAGCGCGCGATAATTGAGAACCTCCCTGGAAAAACGTACCTACATTTTCTCAATTGTTTTATGTCATAACTATTTCATCAAGGAATTTAATACTGTAAATAAAGAAAATACACGCCACTGAAAGAAACCTGAGAAAGGCTTTGTTATCTATGCCTGACATTGTCAACCTTAGTCAACAATTTTATGTTGAATTTAATTATAAATGAGATGATTCTGAATAACAATATTAATTTGTTTTTTTAGGAATTCCACTTAAGTGATTAAAATTAATAGAATTTTAAGTTATTCCTATTAATATAAATTGTTACCTGTCAAAGGCTATTTCAGGCTCTTCCTTGTCATTATACGAGCTGGTGGATTTTATGTATTCCAATATCTCAGTTATTAGACATGGGACCCACACCAAATTTATAATAGTTTATAATGACATTAAATAAACAAGTTCGGCGCAAACAGAATTTAAATTGAAGTTTGCGAAAAAAAGTTTGTTTTTCCTGTTGCCTCACCCGCCTCCAGGCCCCCCTATTTGAGATAATTCAAATTAAAGTGGTGCAATTTATTATCTACTATAATTTATAAAATAAAAAAATATTTAAAATGGTATAAAACCTGTAATATTTGGATTTTTAAAATAAAATTTTAAATTTGTCAATAAATTATAGTAGATTATAAATTGCACCACTTTAATTTGAATTATCTTAAATAGGGGGGCCTGGAGGCGGGTGGGGCAACAGGAAAAACTAACTTTTTTTCGCAAACTTCAATTTAAATTCTGTTTGCGCCGAACTTGTCTATTTAATGTCATTATAAACTATTATAAATTTTGTGTGGGTCTCATGTCTAATAACTGAAATATTGGTATACCCAAAATCCACCAGCCGCCACTGGGTGTGACAATTAAGTAATGAGACTGATTCCATAAAAACCGTATATTTAAAAATTATTCTACAACTCTGCCATCCCCTTCAAAGTAGTCCCCTTGGGCAGCTATACAACGATTCCAGCGCGTTTTCCAAGCTTCGTAACATTTCTGGAACGCTTTGACTGGGATGTCCGCGAGTACCCTCGGAACAAAAAAGTCACAGGGTGACATGTCGGGCAAATAAGGCGGCTGTTGCAACACGGTGATCCCTTTAGAGGCCAAATACTGGGACACGCTGAGGGCAGTGTGGCACGGCGCGTTTCCGTGATGAGGGATCCAGTTACGAGCTACCCTCTTGACTCGTTTTCGCAATCTTTCGAGTACTTGGCGATAGTAGACTTGATTTACGGTTTTCGTAAGTTTCCGAAGCTGTTTCGCCCATACTGGCTCAAAATTTTATCGCGACACGTTGCTCTAGATTTCGTTTTTCCTTTTTAGTGACGAGCACCACCAACACACGTCTACTCAAGACGACACAACAGGCGAATTAAACAAGCTAGAGCGATGGTAAATATATCAATGGAAAGGGGAAGGATGCCGGGAAAGGGAATTTTAAGGTCGCAGGTTTACCACAAGCGCGGCAATAAAATCAGTCTCATTACTTAATTGTCACACCTCGTAACTTTAATAACTTTTACAACCAAATGCAGAACAAACCACCATAGTATTTTAATTTTGAAACCGACGACGTCGGTTAATTCCTTTCCAATCAAAAACACAAAACAAACATTGACATTTTGGTTCACTCTTGCACATTTTACTACACACAACAATAGATGTTCCTTGTGCACTCGTTTAATGGTATTCTAATGGTAGGACCCTTTTACTGTTCATAGGCAGCTTTAATACTTTAAACGTGTGTTTATACCCAACTAGCAAAATAAATCCCTTAAAGAACTGAATTGTTTTATAACTATCGTCTAGAGCTGCAAAAAGAACATTTTTATTGTTTAATGCGTCTTAATACAATAATTTTATCGTAAAAACGACGAAATTCTAATACATTATTGTATATATATTCTTACAACTCGTGTTATAGAACCAAACTCATACACATTTTTTAACCATTGTATAACGTTTTATACAATCCCTTATAAAATTATTTTAAAAGAGTTGTATAAAAGTTATAATAGAGTTGTATACCTATTCTTATACTTGTAGTTTCAACGTTTTATGATAGTTGTAATAGAATTTGTATAAAAGTTGTATTGAAGCTCTATAAGATACATTAAAAAATTGTTTTTTTAAGCAGAAGTAAACACACTACACAATAAGTATAAAGTTATTTTATAATTATCCTATAACTACACCGATTAACTTCTTTATAGAAAGTTTATAAAATAAAATTATCGCAAGTTCTGCGTTATAATTTTATTACTTAAGTCTGTTTATACATTTAGTGTCTTATTACGCCAAAATAAGTTAAGTATTTTTTTAAAATGGAGTCGCAATGGAAAAAAATTAAGAAAAGTGGGCATTTTAAAAGAAGAGCAAAAAAAAATTTATTTATCACAGATTATAAACAAAAAAATAGGTTAGGTCACATGTAGATAAAGAAGGTACCGCTAAAAAGTGGATAAAACAGAACACAATTGTATAGTGCGGTACAATGCATACCTTAAGCGATATTATTGTTCTATTGCGCAGTAGGCAAAGGCGTTATAGCCAATACGAAAAATGAACTTACAGGGTTGTTATTTTAGGCAGCAGTACTGCTGTGTTACCTACAAATCCTTATTTGCATAAAAAATTAAGGTAACGTCGTGCAGTATAAATAAAATTTTACTTGATGTACAATTGGCGTCCCCGAAATGTGAACGGCAAAATTTAAAAAATAAAAAATAAAAAAAATAAAAAATTAAGGTAACGTCGTGCAGTATAAATAAAATTTTACTTGATGTATGTACAATTGGCGTCCCCGAAATGTGAACGGCAAAATTTAATCGTGTAATATGGGCTTTGCATCAGTGTCGTCGGTAGTTGTCAAATTTGATAATAGTTGTCAGTTGCAATATTAAAAATGCCACCCCACTTAACCGAGGCTCAGAGGTCCAGGGCAATAGCCAAATTAGAAGAAAATTGGTATTTAAGTGAAGTAGCTGCAGATTTAAATGTCAGTAAAAGCTGCATATTTTATATCAAAAAACATTGGCAAGAACAACAAAGATTAAGAAGACCTATCAGGCAAGGTGTAGGAAAAATCTCCAACGAAAATGAAGACAATGCTCTTGTCGCACATATTAGGCAAAATCCTTTCAATAGCGCAGTTAAGGCCCGAGAAGATACACAATTTCCAGGATCTCTTCGAACAGCTCAAAAAAGATTGAAACAAGCTAGTTTAAAAAACTGTGCTGCTAAGCTATTTTAATACTTAATTGCAGAGTTAATTTATTTGTTATATAAATAATATAAACAATTGTTTACATTATTGTTTGTTAAAATATTATAAAAAAATAGAACGGTTTAGGATATTGTTCTTATTCTTAGTATTCTCCCTTCTATATGTAATACCACTGGCCGAAGCCAGGAATGAACGAATAAATTTTATGAAAAAAATCCATGACAACAAAAAATCGTTCACATTTCGGAGACGCCAATTGTACCTAACTGCACCAAAAATGAGTATTTTATTCTAAAAAAAACAAATAATTTGAAAAATACAGATAAAATCTGGCAACATCTCAAATGTCAGTTTCTTGCTTTACTTTTATAGCGCCTGTATTAAACAACTTTACAGAACCTAAATATCGTATAACGCACGCGACAGAGCAGATAAATTGTATAACATTTTTATAAAGACAAAACCATTTTATAACAAAAACGCCATATTTATTGACCGATCAATTGTTTATAAATCGCCGCCATTGTGTGAATTTTACCAACAAACGTTAAAACTGTCAATTAAAAATGAATTTTCTTGAAAAAAATTAATGTAATCTTAAGACTAGTCAATTATAAACTGAACAAATAAAACAATAATATTCTTAAAAAACATGAAACTTTGTCAAATAAAAAATTAATTTTTTTTTTTTAATAATTTTTAGTAGGTATATTTGTTAACTGGCGCTTTAATTTTTCGTTAAAAATATATACATATATTGTCAGAAAAGATTGCTCCGCATGAAGATGTTGTCCTCGATAGCGTAAATCTCAAAGGTTTAATAATTATATTTACATAATAAACAACAAGCACCATTTTGGATCTTAGCCGTTTGACATCCAACATAATTCGCATTATAAAATAGTCTTAGGATAAAAATTTCCCACTCCATTCCCAATTTCTAGAGAAGGAAACAAATTGATGTTCTTATAACGATTCTGTCGCATTATAACATACTTATAAAATGCTTGTTTTAATATTCTATAAATATTCGTAAAGTGCAATTAAGCTGCAGAGTAAAACCGCTATAGTATAATCGTATAGCAGTTCCCCAGTATACTGATACTGAGTTTTATAAGGGTTGTGTAGTGTATTTATATAACTGCTAACGAAGTAAACTGTTTTATAAAACGGGGCCCTTTTTGGTTGAGTAAGTGTTGTATAGTAGTTTTTAAACGCATTATACAATTTTAGCGTTTCTATAATATGTGTTGTATAGCAGTTCTAACAACACTTACATAATCAATTTTGTTAGCTGGGTAAAAACTACGTTTTTGGATACAGTGATCACAATATTTTAAAAACCAAAGGTTGATTGTATTTTTTTAAGCATAACTATTTTCTATAAACCCCAAGGTTGATTGAAGTATTTTTTTAAGCAGAACTATTTTCTATAAACGATCAACAAGCGATTTTTTCATCAAAATTTATAAAAAAAATCCAGAGGGCGCCATTTTGCAAAATATTTAGATATGCAAAAAAACTTTTTAAACTAACAATTTTTTAATATTTTGATTTTAAAAGGTGCTTTGCAGTGACTAGTGGTTTAAGAGCAAGGATAATAATCAAGTTGATAACTTAGTTCAGAATTAAAATATTTTTTTAAATTTTTGTGAATGTTACTTATACTTAATATACCTGGAAACTATATTGCAGAGCAACCCTGAGTTTAAATT